CCTCTAATTATTCAGTAATAAATGATCCGTAGTCCAGTTTTAGCTCACCGACAGTGTGCAGCAGCGGCAGCGCGTGGTGCACGTGTCGCGCGGCCAGCACCTGCAGCATGGGGTGCGCCAGGCGCAGCAGCGTGGCCTGCAGGTCGTAGGCGTGGCCGGGCTCCGCGTCGCGCCGCCACACGCCGCACACGGCCCGCAGCGCCGCCAGCGCGCCGCCCGCGCCGCGCGCGCACACCACGCGCGACACCACCGAGTGCAGCGCCGACGCCGCGCCCGCGCCCGCGCCGATCTGCGCGCCGCCCTGCGCACGTAGCGGGACCTCACATACATCTACATTCTCACACTCAATTCTCAATTATTATGAACAATGATATATGATCGTACACACGGCCACACATCAATCTATACAAAAACCAGTTTATCCTGGTGTCGTGTCGCGTCATCTGTACGCACATTTAACGTTAAGTTAATACTGGTTATATAAAGCTCGATGTGTAGCCGTGTGTAAATGAATAATTTCAGAAAAACTAAATAATTTAAAAATTCGTATCGAAGATTGCTCGACCAGTTTTATCTTTTTACTAAATCTAAATTTCTCAATCTAATCTAAATTTTACTATATCTACTTTAATTTTTGTGGTTTTCCTTTAATTAGCAGATCTCGAGGTTATTATTCTTAAGAGTGTTAAATAAATAAACAAATGATCAAGTCAGTCCCAACACAAGTATTGTATAATAACTTACTGGGACTGCCTCAATGTTAGACAGATAGTGTAATTCTTAAGATAATAAAGAATTTTGAATTTGAGTTTCGAGTAAAACCGAGTGTCTAAAATACTCGTCGAAACGAGTATAAACATAGATTTAGATTACTTAGACTTAACTACTCTATTACTACTACTTAATTACTTAAGATAATGCCCTGTTCGCACTGCGCTAGTATTTAGTCAAGTAGCGAGTTTTCAATAGTTCTCTCCCACTTCGATTTTGGGACAAAAGCGTGAGAAGACTACTAAATACTCATTACTCGACTAAAATACAAAAGCAAAACTCATAAGAGTAAGTTATCTTAAAATCTTTTTAATATGATTCACAAAAGATCATACAAAAATCTTACTATACATTTTTTCAACACTTACCAAATAAGGTTCGGAGGAAGCGACAGCGCCGTCAGTGTTGACATTCATGGTGATGAACTTGACGAGGGCCGGGACGAAGTGCTCGCACTCCAGTATCACGCGACCCATCGTCTGGGTACTACTGCCTTCAGTCTACAGAGAAACATAGATTGTTAAATAAAATTCCATGTATACACCACTCTTAGTTAAATTTATTCTCTTCAATAGAATGTCGACTTTACTACAAAGCGATAAAGTTACAAACAAAAGTGTATACCTGTAATGGTAAGCTCGCAATCCAGGCCAAAGCTTGCATGGATAGCACCCAGCATCTTAATGAAATATTCTCTAACCTGTTAAAAAAATGAAGACCATTAGAGGAATAAGAAACCGAATACCATCAGGTGATTTCCTGCTTTAGTATCCTTATGGTGAATGAGTTAACGTTATAATAATATGACATTTATGTCAGATGATACCATAAGAATACTAATTCAAAGGAAACCCTAAGCTAAGATAAGTGACACTTAACGTCAATAATCCAACTTATAAATGTCACCTAACTGTAGTCTCAGTGGTCCCTCGCGCTAAGTAACTCTTAATTAAGAGACATTTGACTTTTGATAAATTAAAATGGTTACTATAAGCGTATACTAACGTGCAAAGTGAATGCAGTAGTGCGTTAACGGTGTCGGAAGCGAGGCGTATACGCGGCGTGTCCGCCGGCACGGCGAGCGTGGCCAGCGACCAGGCGCCGCCATTCCACGCCGACCCATTCAACGTCAGCCACAACGAGATCACGTTCTCCATGAATGTGCAGTCCATCTGTGAATACAGGTTTAAAGTTAGTACTTAAGTTGTTCTTTATTATAATTTTTAGTAACGGCTATAGGCAGGCTCGCAAAAATCTCGAGTGTCCTCATAAAGTGTCTATTTTAAAGGACTTGAGTTCATTTTTTTAAATAGGAATGGAATATAAATCATTAATTTCTCTGGTTTGTCTGATTTAAGGTTCTCTGTTCAATCAAACATACTATTTTTCTTGGATACACCCCTGTTTGTAATTAGTAAAACAAGATAAGAAAGAAGTTCGTACTATAACAATAGAAGAGGGTATTCATTAAAATACAAGGAAATGTAGAAATAATACAATTTTCAGTTACCTGATAATGGAACTCTAGCGCCAGGTGTCTGAATACATCGTAGAGCGTGTGTGTGAGCGGTGGATGGGGTCTGTGCGGGGGGGCGGGGGCGCGGGGGGCGGGGCGCGCACGGCGGCCGCTAGTGCCCCCGCGGTGCCGAGCAGGGCGCGCCGGGCGTGGGCCTCGCCCGCGCCGCCGCACCCACCGCCACCGGCTTCCACACGCGCGTCCCAACATACTGACACGTTACTGTAACGAAGGGGTACAATCAAACATATGAAGAACAACGAGGAATATGCCAGAATATGTTTCGAAAACCATAAGAAATTATTAGTACTGTCGTACAGTCTTTTTTAAAGGGGGGAAACCATCGAATGACTGCTCCCGCCTGGGTGAGGCGGAAGGGTGTGTCAGACTCTTCCTGACTAAAAACCACCCCGTTCCTTCTCCTGCGCTTAGAGCCGGAGCCCCGATAACCCGTTAGGTTCTCCGCGACTGTCGTACAGTCTAAGCCTAATTTTTATACATTTGAAAAAAGTACTAGTACTTTCACAATGAAGAAATTACCTACTTGATAACTAGCATGGCGGTTCCTTCCAACACAACCTAAAATATTCCTTTAAGATTAAGATAACCAAAGGTAACTAACATAGGTTTATATAACAACTTACCTGGTGCTATTGTCCACGACGAGTTTAGTCCTGGTTTCCTTCTTGACAGCGTCATTGAAGTATTGTTCGAGTTTCTCTTCCGAAGACTCGGAGTCGTCAGATTCAGCCACTTGCGTTAGCTGTTCCTCCACGTCGATATCTTAAGGACAGAAACCTTTACATTTATTTACCTACTTAAAATTGGTTGACATTATTGTATGCAGTAAGTTAATGTGACATTCGTTTTCTTTATAATAAAAGATGAATTGTCTATTCTTAACCTGCCATTCAGTATTGTGGTTAGAATGTTGATTTCCAGCCCGATTCTGGCCAGCACAAACACTCAAGTAGATTTATCTGAGTGCTTAACAAGTCATACTACTTGGTTATCTTCTCTGCCTTCGACCCTCTTGAACTAAAACTCTGGTCCAGTACGACCCTGCTTCAAATCTTAAATTGCAAGTGATTTTGCAATCTACTTACTGCCAATTTCAATAACAGATCTCAATTCAAAATCATTAGATTGGGATCGATTTTTGACACGAGTTGTGTGTCAAAAATCAAGATCCGTCAGGGATTCTGGATTAATATTGGTCATTGAAATCGGTATTAGCCATTACCGTGCAGTGTAGGCCAAAAAATTTAGCCCAGTTAGTTAGTTCATGGCGGCTAATCACTGGGCTTACATATCGCTCCATATTTAAAGTGTCTACCACACTACAACCCACATATGATTGTAGTGTTCCACTGTGAATATCTAAAAATATTCATTCAGTAGAACACCAGTAATTACTGCATGCAATATTGTATTCAATTTTATCGAAAGCAAGCCGAAAAATAATTAAACATACAGTGAAGGCACTTCTTATGAAACAACGACATGTCGATACTTTCATCCGAAGATAAAAATAAGATTAAACTGCCAGACTCGTGCGTCTAAACAATCTGTCAAGACATCATCTTCATTTGGTCATGTAAAAGTAGATTTTTATTAAAAAGTAGCTCTTATTCTATGGGAGTTACTTTTATTGGATACTGATAACAATTAAAGCTAATATAATGGTGAATGTTTGTATTCAAGCGTGCTTCATTGATATACGAGTATTAAATATGATAATATACAAAGCGCAAATGTTTGAGGTCCACTTTCTATTGCGAAACACTTACAATTTCTTCAGACAATTCTCATTTTAAAAGCCCAAAGAGCTAGCAAATAAGCCCATACGTAGTATAAAAAACAAAGCAAAAAAATAATAATAACAACGCTAACTTCTATGATGACTAGCGCATTCGATTTCTAAATCGATTCTAAATTATTGAAATCGATTAGAAATGTGCTATGCAATGCAAATATGTGTAGCGGTTAGGTGTGGTCTGTTACTTCCTATCACACTACATATCAGTGCAAACCGAACTAAGCCCGGTCAATGACCATACAGACATTAACACTGGTTATTTTAGTATAATGGCCTTACTTGCTAAATTGACACCTGCTGTGGTAAATAGTTTGGGCTTGAAGTACGTAGTCTTCCCCAGACCAAAACTATCCGCTAACAAATCTGCAATAATAACACAGCAAGTCAATTCTGCTACATATCGAAAGAAAAAATTGTCATTTACTTCTACTTATCCGTTAAGTCCGAAATCAATCACTCCTATGAAAATTTTTGTGAACTCTTGCTCTATACTTCGTTAAATATAATAATAGCCTTGGTTTTCCAATCTAAGATTAACGTCTCTGCATTAGAACTAAACGGTTTTCACTGATTTGTAGAATATTAGGTCCATTTTCCCATCAAGTGGTTAGTGTTTTGAATTTTTAAAATAAAATGACACAGGATCGCCACATGCAAGACATTTTCTTCTAGCATACAACACCTATGTTCATATTGCAACCTCAGCATACATATGAACATAATGTTTTCTTTGTAGACAGATGGTGTATTATGACGTCTTAAAGCCAGAGTGAGCTCAGGGAACGAGATCTGGCTAGATGACTTCTATAGCTCTGTTTCTTTCCCTCAATGGAACCATTCTGACTTTAGGACGTCATCATAAACCCGCAGGTTGATTGTGGCATATTAGACATCCCGTATAAAGGCTGAGAAGATGCGTAGACGTACACGTAGGGGATTGAACCTAGAAAGCGCTATAGGCGAGTACCTCATAGGCTCCCTTAATTTTTCATGCGCGTGTGTGTGTGTATGTATGTGTGCGTGTGCGCGCGCGCGCGTGTGTGTGTGTGTGTGTGTACCTGGCGTTTGAGACACTTGCCTAAAGGATAACACGGCTCTACGTACAACAGATTTCTAATGTATGGAATTGTACGTCGACGCGCACGACTACGTTACGAAAGCGTATCTGTATACGTATATGTATCCGGTCTGCTTGAGCCTTAATGTTCACAAATTCAAACAACACACATCCACATGATTGGAAAAAGACCAAAGACACGTCACAATCAGTTTCAATAACAATATGTCGGTAGACTTGCGTACTAGAAACAGTATTTAGACACCGTTTTGTATGGAATTTATGTCAAAATATCTATTTTTAGTAGCTAAATCTACTGATACTTAGGTTATTGGGACTGGCCATTGCACTTAGTTCATCACTGGTCATGGCACAGGTATAGTGTATAAAAACGTGCGATATGGGATGTGAGCCTACAGAACTCTAAATGGAAAGTGAAAACCGATTTACAAATGCACACCATTGCTAATGATAATGGGATTGTTCAGTTGATCACTACATATAGTACAGTATTTGGATTAACTAAAAATCGCGGGTTAATCACGTGAATATACCGAGAAATGCTTACTAGTTTCGAACCACAGAGAAGTTCCTCTTTATGAGCAGCGTGCGCGGTCGCGGCGATGTCGCGCAGCCTACTGTTCGAAACTAGTAGAGCTTTTCTCAGTATATTCACGTGAGTAATCCGCGATTTTTAGTTAATTTAGTATGTCTCACGATAGTATCTGGATTATTCAATACCGTTAAGTACTCAAAAACCTACAATGTATGTATTAGCGAATCATTATTTACCTTACACCCAAATATGGTAAGGCTATTTTCACTTGCACTTAAATATCGTGCCATCTCTGTCATTTTACAAAGAACTTATAATTAAAATTTAGTAGACTTTCAGCATTCGGGCGTTAACCTATTAGCATTAAAGTACTTATGATTATTATAATATCTAATCTTGCCTGAAACAAAGGATGTCCTAGTTCAGATACCTTATACAACTTTATTGTGAATTTTCTGTTACTTAAACAAAACTGTATATTTCTAGATTATTCTGTCTTATTACCTATTCAATCTTTTTTTTTTTTTTATAGAAAAAAAAAAAAAAAAATATAACATTTTGTGCATGTAAAACCATATTAAGAGGCATAACATACTATGAAGTGTACAAAACAGTCGATTCACTCGTTGTTACATTATATCCAACGAAAATCTCTTTATTCACCTGATGAGTGTCTTTCTAGTAATAAAAACATTGACATTATAAACCTCTGCTAAACATCTTAGTGTTGTGCAAGTCTCAACTTGCATTCAATGCCAGCATTTTCTTTTAATTGAGTATAAACAAGTACATACGACGCGTTAATGCATAATTAATGGGGTTAGATAACACATAACAACTTCTATGATAAATACATACCTAATAAATAAATATAGAAGTTGCTTAATACAGTAATAGCAAGACTTTGTTGGTAAGCAAAATAAGTATTTGCACTTTCCATAATATAAACTTATTTACAAAGTAAAGATTGTTCCCGGAACCAACACCTGCAAAGTCTTGCGTTTGTAGTAAAGTTTTGCGTAAATTAACGAATAAAAATAGTTATTGGATAACAAACCTGCGACAGTGGGTCCTTTAAACTTGCGCGCCTTGACCCCGGGCGCGGAGCCTGGCGGTATGGAGTGCACGCGTATAACGCGGGAGGAACTGGCGCCGGCAGTCCACGACTCCTCGTTCGGAGGACTAGACGGGGATTCGCCGGACTCATATTCGACTAGATCCTGGTAAATAATGGGGGAAAGAGTCTCAGAACAGAAAGAAATTGGGACTCGGAGACATTTACTGAAATAGACTACAAACATAAATGAACATTTACATTCATCACGTCAGGCATTCTCGTTGACTGCGGGTTGTTTTAATTTGACCCTTTTTAATACATAATTTCTGTGCCTCCTGTGATAAGTGATACAAGTCTAAAAACGTCATTTTACAGGACAGCGAAAACAAGATTTAAAAAAATCTAGTTCGTTAATTAAGCGGGCTAGATTAAATATCAGTGCACTCTTTGGTAGATCGAAACGTTTTCTTTCTCTATATAATTTAGATTTTTGGTAGATGTTTAATTTTGGAAGTAATTCATGAAAATCTGCGACTTGTAACTTTTACTTAGTTTTTTATGTGCTAAAATGAAGTTATAAATGATACTTGTACAGTTAAATTACGTTGCACCAAGCTTACACCAAAAAATTGTCTTAGTGTAAACTGATATACATGAAGTTAAAATGTCTAATAACTCATTAGAATAATGATTCTAGCAAAATGTGCTAAAACAAAAGATGAAAATATAACCCTTAAGATTTATTTTTTTTACTTATCAGTCACCTATTTACATAATTTGGCTGAACTATATCAATTTACTAAAATCCTAGTCTTTCAGAAGATATGTTAAATGATGTAAGTCAAGATGTACCCCTCAAAAAAAAGATAGTAATATGTGTAAATGAATACAAGTTTTAGAAAAATAAAAAATCAACGTTTATTAACCAAAAATTCAGCCGTTAGGGCACATTTTTATCAAAATTCTTATAAAACTAAATGGAGATCTATACATCACAATATGACTATACGAATGTAACTATTTTCAAAAGGAACATAATTATCATAAAGACAAAAATTTGAAACCAAGTAAAACTAAGTAATGGCACAGATCAGTCTTGATAAGCTATCACAGTTAGCAATTTACCTACTCAGTATTATACAAAGTAATAAAAATAATTAATTAAACTGTGGTTTGTTTTCCCTGACGAAGTTGTATATTCGTATTACAAAATAGTTTTCTTTTTTCTCTATTCTGTCTTCTCTCTTTGTCACTTTATCCGCGTTTTTTTTTCCGGCACTGTTAAATCCTTTGCGTTCTCAGAAAGAGCAACCGAATGGAATTCTCTGATGTGTTCCTGGGTGACGGTGGTGTTTTTGGAATCGTAATATTGGAGGTTTGTCTCATCAATGACGACGTAGCCGTTCTTTTTTTTAGCCGGTACTCTTTTATCATCAGTGAATGAACACAATTCATCAGTATTGCAAATATATTCATCACTTGTAAAAGATCCAAGGAAACAAGTGAAACAGTGAAACAAGTTTATTTATTTTTGCATATAGGCTACAGGGCAGCACTTTTACATGTCAATTTTATCAAGCGAATGATGAGGTCGACATTTCCTAACTGACTACTCTGAGAAGAAATGCCGAAACAAACTTAGAGGTCCGTCTCTTTTAAAGTCCAGACAATATGTGTAACAGACTATTTGTGAGAATGAGAACCGTGCAAGTTCTTTCTGTAGTGGCCTTTTGAGGAAAGAACCACAACAGTTTGAGCGGACCCGTTCTGAAGGCAGTACGCATGTGTCGGTTTACAGTCAGCTCAATTAACAGGTGAGGCTGACTGATTCGACGACCAATACCAAAATAAAGGACATTTGCGTGGGTCGCACTAATACTCAAACTGTCAGAATATGGGTAGTTAGAAAAGAAATGGCGAGGCAAAGTCTCGCACGGTCCTAGCACTAACAATTGTAAAATAAAAAGTAAATGTCAAATTAGAACAACATATAAAAAAAATCAAATGAAAAACAATGTCACATTAAAACAATAATGTCAAATTGCATATAAAAAAGATATGTAACTATATGTTACAAAAATGTCGACATGACCTGTGTGGTCGTTACAGCAGCTTATTCCTAAGCCCGACTATCATTTAGGTAGTCGTAGTCTTTTATTTTATAAAAAGCTTTAGTATAAAATTTATCTTTAATTACATTTTTAAATTTATTTAGATTCAAATTTTGGATATGGCTGGGAATTTTATTGTAAAAGCGTATACTCTGACATCTAATCGAAGCACTTATTTTCTTTAGTCTAGTAGTGGGAACAACATATTTGTCTTTATTTCTCGTGTTGATATTGTGTATATCACTATGCTTTTTAAATAAACTTTTGTTTTTATGCGCATATACTACATTTTCATAAATGTATTGAGAGGCAACAGTCATTATAATAATTTCTTTAAATAGTTCCCTGAGAGAGTACCTCGGACTAAGATTATAAATTGATCGAATGGCCCTCTTCCAAAATCACCATCATCAGATGATTCTGAAATTCTCAAATCATCGAGTAGATTATTCGAAGAATGTTCTTGAGTCTTGTTCATCTTATTATTATTGAAAACTATTTCCGCAACAATTGTAGGATTCCGCAATTTTTCAACTAGTTCTATTCCTTCTTGCGTCTCTATTGATTCGTTACCTTCTTCCTGGATATCATTACATTCTTCTTTGTCAGTGACCATTTCTGTAATTACTGGACGCCGGTGCCATGACCCATCAACCGTTTCACTTGTTTCTTGCTCCACTCTTGATTCGTAGCCATTTTCCTGAGTATCAAAATCTTTTTCTTCAATATCTGATTTAGTGTAGCCAATTTCATTAATTTATCAATACTCTCGTATTGATAACGCTTTTAGCTGAAAAAAATTACCCCGATTACCCCTACGAACCCCCGCCACCTACACTTGTATCACTTAGCACATTTAATATTTTGTATCAGATATTTTTACAATTGGTTGGATTTTTAGATACAACTATATTTATATCTGTTTACACAAAAAGACAGATTTGTGTAGAATGATTTAAGTCAAGTTGTATCACTTTTCATAAAAAAAGGGCATACCTTACATTCAGATTTGTAGGTACATGTCGATTTGTATCCTAGAGGCATATCGAAAGAATTAGTCCAAAGGGATATTATTGTAGTCACATCAAAATTCACGATAAATGTACTGAAAAATAAAATGTGAAGTTAAATACAATAGCATTTAAATCACGAAACACAAAAAATAGTTTGTTAAGTGACCGGTTTTGGAGTTACAACTTAACAAATATCGATTGTCACGATTTTTTTGCCAAAATCCCTATAGTTGTATCACTTTGCACAAAATTATCTCCGAAACTATAGCAGATAGAAGAACGTGAGTTAGACCAAAAAATACGTTTTTTTTTTTTGATTATGCTCATGTTAAAATCACAAAAAGGGTACAACTCGAGTTATATCACTTATCACAGGAGGCACAGATTTATATTGTAGGGTTTTACTAAGATACATTTAAGACGGTACATACCTGCAGCAAGGTGGTGAGTGCATGACGTGGCCAGGGTGGCAACGTCACAGCGAGTCGGGCCAGGCCCAGGATACATGATGGATCCAACAGGCTTGCACCTCCAGATAGTGCACAGAGCCTTCCCACTACCTGTTTCAAAACAAACAGGAAAATGTTTATTTCAAGGTAGGATGACCAATGTATTATCGGTAGATTGTTTTTTAGGGACAGAGCGGCCAATGAGGCAATCTAATCAGCTGATTGTTGAAGGGAGTTGCTGACCTTTTAGGTATTACTGATTTGGGGATTAGGAATTTTGGCATTGGAGAGAATGATTCTTTCGGCCACGACACCAGAGGAGTAACGTCACGGTGGAGGAAAAGTGTGTTGCCCGCTATTTAAGGGAGAGAATTTGAAAAGGTGAGAATTTGAAAATTGGGGATGAGCAATTGAGCCTTCTGTATAACCGTACCTTGGCGGCGAGCATGAGCGCGTCGGCCTGCGAGCAAGTGTCAGCGGCGAGCATGTGCGCGACGAGCGCGTGCGCCAGTCGCGCCGCCAGCTGCGTGGCCAGCGGCCGCAGCCGGCACGACTCCGGCCCGCCCGACGACTCGCCGCGGGACGCGCCGCGCTTGCCCACCATCGCCATGCGCGCCTTGAGATTGAGGCGGGCTCGCTGCACCAATAAAGAAATACTTCAGTTAGTGCCTGGTATCTGGTACAAGTTTAACCGTATATGTGCATTAAGTAGGAAATAAAGGAATAGGTATAGTGAAATTTATGATGAAGCTTATACATAAAAAATTGTAAATGATTAATGTATAAAGAATGTCAACATAAAATCTAACTTTATATATCAAGTTACCTGTTGATCTTCAAGTGCGACTTGTATACCCCTCCTAGCAGCTTCTAGCTCCTGCATCTGGTGCAGCAGCTTCTTGTGGAGCTTGCGTCGGTGCAACTTACATTCGTTGTTGCGCGGCGAGCCTTGGGCGTCCACGCCTGGGGCCGCGCCGCCAGCACGTCCACCCGTCACCCAGTCCCATCTACGAAACAATACAAATTGATGGAAAAGAAATTCAGAGTAAAAACATTTTTTGTATATGAAATATCCATAGGCATGTCACGTTTTTAAATATGAAATAATAGTTGTATGTACAGTAGTTAAAATTGAATAATATTAAAAAAGTGAATAGTACGTCGGAATGCGGTAGTACCTGGCGTACTTGTCGTTGTGCGCGGCGACGGTGTCGAGCACGGCGGCGAGCGCGCTGAGCAGCGCGGCGGTGACGGCGGGCTGCGCGCGCGGCGCCCGCAGCAGGTCCAGCGCGCGCGTGGCCAGCGCGGCGCACGGGCCCGCGTCGGCCGCGCCCGCCCACACGGAGCGCCGGCACATGTACACGGCCAGCACCAGCACGCGGTCCAGCGCGGCGGGCGGCGCGTCGTAGGCCGCGAAGGCCTGCGTCAGCGTGTCGCCCAGCAGGCCGCCCCACCAGTCGTGGCCGCCGGCGGCGCGCGCCAGCAGCGTGGCCAGCGCGCCCGCGCCGCGCGCGCCCCACTCCCACACCTGCGCCACCACCACGCTGCACCACTCGCGGCTCACCTCGGGGTATTGCTGCACATACAACGTTACACTGACCAACCGACGTAAACAACACATTCCATTCAGCTGTTATTCACTACCCAATGCCCGAATACTCAAATGATACCCAATTTCAGTTATACTAAAAATCGTGCTATTATTTATTCATTTTATAAAGGATAGATTTGTAGTGACAGAACTATTCTTGAGACTGTCAAAAAGAAGTTAACTCACCACGTCACCAACTTGGAAGTAGAAATACAGCAGCATATCCACAATTGTCTCGCTAATGACTCTCAGCTTATCCGTCGAAGCTGCTTCTAATAGCGCTTCAGACGAGACGAGACCTTTGTCAATAAGTTCTGGAAGATTCCTAGGCCCGTCAGCACTGTTCTGTAGCTTTCTAAGTATGTTGGTGCAAGTGTGGAGTTGTTGCTGCAGCTCTATGCACTCCTGGTAGGCAGTCACCACCTTGGCGTCTACGTCGTTGCTGATGTTCATGTATGACATCATATGGGCTGCATTGCCGTTGTATAGTTCGAGGTATGGGTTTAAGAGATCCATTAGTTTACCGGTTGCTAATCTGTAAAAACATTGGATTATTGAAGATTGGTTCATTTTCTTAAAAAAATATTCATTATTAACATGTATAGTATGTGACCTAAACCGGCAGGTCAAGTCTTGATGCAGCGCATTGAGCGCGTTAATGCTCGGTTGTACATGCGTGATCTCTGCCACCTCGCCGTAGAACCAGCCGAGCGGGATCTTGCACTTCATCGCCGACATGCCGTATCTACCTATTGTGGTTATCTGTGAATAAAATAAAGATTATAACGTTAATGTGCGACTAACTAAATAATCGATTGTAGGATAATTAGAAAAGATTGAAGATGTTCCTTAGAAAAAATTGAACCGATAAAAAAATGACCATTATCGCCAACGCAAAGTTGAAATTGAAATAATGATACAATTTTAACAAGTTAGATTGTTAAATTATTTTAACCCTTTACACCCGATAGATTTTTATTTTGAAATCGTCTATGTAATGGTTTTTATACCATTCTGTAGAGCCGTAGGGGCTTCGAAAAAATACTGAAAAAAATCTCAGGTTTATAGTTAACCCAGGAGTTAACCCTCACGATCGTGAGTTTCAGGTACAACTTGACTACTCACGATCGTGAGGGTAATTTAAATAGAATGTTTATCTTGATAGTTGGATGGAAAATTAAACTGATATATAAATGTTTGGGAGCTTATTACTTTAATCACCCATTCTAGAATCAGTCCACATTATTAAACTTACTATGGAATCCTTAATTCTTAAAAAAACAGCTTTGGTAACAAAAGTCATAAAAACCAAAGGACTTCTACAGCTGAAACTAATTAATATTATTTAATCACAAAAAGGAACTATCAAAATTATGGTTCTTGATGATATGACTTAAAACAGTCTTTCCCACGGGAAATGCACAAGTATGTATCACATTTTTCGCATCGTATCTTCGTGCGGCTGCCACAAGTTTCATGTCGACTCATTCTTGGAGCTTTTATTTCACCAAATACCGGGAAATGCTCATAACCGTCATATCTTTTTGCTTCAGAAGGTTTATTTGCTGACCTGTAGTATCTTCGAACTGAAAAATCATTTTCCACTGGCGGATCATTCTCAATATCACTGGACATTCGGCGTTCTTTGGATGGATTACTTGAAAATCCGTCGGCTATATTAAACGAAAATCCAATAAGGGCAAAATGTTTTTCCTGCTTAGCCATCCTAGCATCAGTGTTGAATTTAATTGCAACACGATCAGGGATCCGGATCATCATTATCGTTCCAGTGCCATGAAGATTCCTCTTGTGCTCTTCGATCAATGCGACAGTAGTAAAAAACCTATCATGGCAGATACAGCTTCCAGGTGGGACAATTTTACTCAAATGGAGAACCACAGACGGCCTCATCCCGATTGGAGAGTCTCCAAACTCGGGTTCTTCTTCGGATTCCATGCCAGAGAATATTTCCTCGAAATTGAGATTTTTCAGGACATTACGTTGAAAATTATCGTCATCTTCACCAAAATCTTCAATTTTGGAAAGGTTTCCGTCACCCAAGATTTGTGAAATTTGACCGTCATTCATCTCTTGTCCTAAAAACAAGAAAATATGCACATTTTCAAATTTAATTCAAGCACAATTAATAAATAAAGGTTTCTAAGTTTTAAATTATTTCTTGCACGTACAACCGAAGCCACACAATCGTAGCAGTCAAATTTTATGACGAAATTGTATCCAAATTACAATGAAATTAATTAAAGTAAAAGAACTTAATTAATAAGTGTTTATTTGACTTTGAATTTACTTAAAAACCTAATACATTACTAAACAAATAATACGCGTAACTAGTACTTACCGGTGAGGCTGCGAGAGTCAAAACACGTCGTCATCTCCCACCAAGGCTCGCAGGACACTGGCCGCCCGCATGGGTCTCGCGATTTAGTTAGCGCAAGCGAGATACCCTCACGATAGATCGATGCCGGTTGCGTTCGCAAAAAGCAAACGGTTTGGCGCCAGAATTTTTTAAAAGTTAAACGCACGCTCGTTTCATCCCGGGTGTAAAGGGTTAAGGTGTTTACCTTCATATACCGGCAGATCGGCGGCGGCTGTATGTCAGTAAGTACGAGGTGTTTTGTGGCGATGTCGGTAGCGAAGGCAAGCTTCACGCAGTCCGTCTCCTCGCCAGTCACCCAGATATCTATGCATAGCGTCACCAGGTCCGAACACGATGGGATTATCTGTAAGAATATTTAACACATGAATATACAGTTAGCCCAAAACTTTGTATTACGTTTTGTAGTCTTATGAATACGTAAGAAGCCACTCTTGCAAAATGATAGTAACTTTTTTTGGTCGGTCGCGAAAAAATTGCGGAGCCTATATTCACATACCTAAGGAATTACGCATACTTATTCAGCTCTATGCAGCTTGTGTCCATAGAAAACCATCGATTTTTGATTTGAAATTTTAACTTAGGAATAACTTTGAACATTTGACAATTCTTTTAAACTAAAAACTGTCAAATATCAATTTTATTCTACAGATAAAAATTAACTGGATGATTGAAAAATCAGCCCTAAGTTCTGTAAACCACGATCTGCAATAGATATAACCATGAAAATGCTAAAACATTAAAGGTCGACGCGTCTCAGGGACATGAACAACTGCGTTGGATCTAGCACTGAAATAAATTAGAAGGTATCATTAGAAAAGGCAAGTAAAATAGCCGATGCACATACCACGTCGGTGAGTTTGACGGCGTGTCCGAAGTCGAGCACGATGTACCGGCGCGCGCCCGAGTGCATGCGCTCCACCACCAGCGTGTGCTGCGGGGGGCGGGTCACTAGCGACGCCCACGGGATGCCGCACTGCTCCTGATCCTGTGGGGGACACGACTTGAATACATTCACTTAACATCAATAGCCCGTGACTCTCCCTGACTGAACTACGGGCTTATAAGAAACTGGTAGACTACATAAGAAGTTATATCTAGTAGACCCTCATAGAGAAAGCCCGTAGCCCCCAGATGCGAACCTACTATCATAAGGAGTATTAACAAAATTTTATGAACACAAATAATATCGACAATAACATGAGACTTAAGAAAGACATTATGAACAATAAAAACTATAAGCCAGTACACTTATAAGCGACGTTAAAAAAAGCTACTTCAACGCCGTCCTGTTTGAAGTCGGTTAATTAATATACCTTCTTGGGATTGTGCCCGGTATATGGCAATAGGCTCACCCCCTATTACATGGGACTCATAACATAAATAGTGAAAATGGGTATTACATTGTACAGTGGCATAAAGTGCACCTCTGCCTACCCCTTCGGGGATAAAAGGCGTGATGTTGTGTTTGATAACCTTCTCTTTAGTGTAACAAACGCATTTCTGAAAACCGCATCAAAATCGGTTCAGCCGATAGCTATATAATCGCGTATAAACATACGGTCAAACTGAGAAGCTCCTTTTTTGAAGTCAGTTAAACCGTCTCCTTATTTGATCTATGATAATACTGATGGAATACATCTCAGTACAGTGAATGTTATTGACATTTTTCTCAATGTAGGCTACGTAACTATACTCGTAAGTCACATTTTTATAACATAAATTTACCTTAAACAGCTTCTCTTCGGAAAACTCCATCTTATCCTGAGGATCGCACTCCATGAGGGAGCTCTCAACGTCCTCAAGAGAGTCAGGGTCTTGCGAAGACTGCTTCATCTGGCCTTCCTTCACGACTGACCATAGTTGCTGAACAAAGATTAACATATTGTTAACTTTCGAAGAAAATTACACCATGGTAATGTAAAATTATATCACTGATATGTTGAATAATTTACTAAATTGAATAAGTTCACTGAAATAAATGGTACAGTATCAGACGAAAACGTTGTTCCATTATGAGATATTTAATGTATTCAATACATCGAAATATTTACAAAATAATCTCCAAATCCTTTACAGACAAATTAACTTGACAAGATGGTTTGGTTATGGTTATTCAAAAATTACCTGGCTAGGATCTCCGGGTCCAGCGCCAGGCAGTGAGCTAACAACAGCGGAGTGATGTCGCGTCCCGTTGGACTCGAGCTTGGTCCCGTCCGAGGCCACGTGACACGTGACGTGTAGTGGCATGGCCTCACTTAGCCCGGCGCCGAACACGCCAACACCGTTGTTCTGAGCCCACCACGCGGTCGATGAGTTCGCGCTTTTAGCATCTAGTTAAAGGGGGTAATTTCTAATTAGATTTATTTAAAGTGACTAATGAACAACAAAAATATAGAAATCCCCAACACATTCCCTTCACAATTTGGATATGTATCTGAAATACTTGATAAAATCACAGGATCATCATAAAAAATGAATAATGGAAAACTTTATATCTTCAGTTTTAGAGATTATCAACCGCAACAAAATACAGTTTCTATTTCAGATTTGGATTTGCTTACCAAACATAAAATTTTGACACATTAACCAAATTTGTCTAATCTGCTACTCAAAACTTACCCATCTCCAAAGGCAAGTTGAGCAGTTCCTTCAGCTGATAGTCAGGTTTAGGAACAGGGGGCGTCGTGGTGTCGCCAGCCAGTACACTGGCGTACGTGACCGGGGTGGACGTGCCGCGCCCTAACTCCGGCACCTCCGTCGCGAAGATTGTGCGCTCTAATGGAAGACCGTATAGACCAAACCTGTGGAAATAAATGGATATTCACTACGCAGGAGTATGGTAGTCGTATGTTCTAAATCAGGGATTTAACAAACTTCTTCGTTAGTCGTAACTCTGTTGTTCAAGATTATTCTGTCTTCGTATAACATTTTTATTGTTTATGATTTTAAGGTAAAATCGAATGTAAAATATGCGTGAACAATATTAACGTAAAGTCAATTTCATTTTATTTATCAACTAAAAAATGTATTCAAATTGTTCTATCGTGTTGATATTCTACGTGATACTTATGATTAACTAGTATTTTACTATACCTGGCTCTCAACAGACTATGATAAACATCAGGTCTGTCACTCAAGCACTTGGCAGCTCGTTCAAGCAGCGCCATGCACTTGGCGACGAGTGCGGGCGCCATGGCCCGCGCCGTGCACTGCTGCGCCAGCGCGGCCAGCCAGCGCACGGCGCCCGCCGACACGCTGGCGCCCACGTACGGGATACAAGCACATACACTGTTTGATAACGTCGTCTCGAACGTTGACTTCCATGGCTTCGGGAGTTGTTTCTCACCCCTGAAAAAAAAAGTCGTTACAATCTATTTTCTTTACTGGTCAAACTGATTAAAAAACACTAAGATAGATAGATAGATAGATGGATAGATAAACTATTTTAAGTCCATGTCAAGCTGCCTGAAAATATTGGAGCCTTTAAGTGAAATCAGACTGAATTACATGTGAACGGATAGGTACGACCATATATAAAGTTATCATGATGACTAATTTCATTTAGACCTCCAGACAACATCTAAACTAGCATGGTGACCCTGATGTGAATAAACTACATTTGGGTTGATGTTTACAAATGAGTGTTAGGAACAAGATAAGATGGAATACCTATAATAGCAATCATTCTTTTAATGATGATATGACAAGATGGACAAATTATTTGTAAAAAAAGAAATAAATGTCATACTTACTCGCTAGTAATTAGAAGAATTTTCACGCATTTCTTCGCAATACTTCTGTTGGCGCACAGAATACAGTTCTTGATCAGTGCGTCTGTATGTTTCTCAATGATCTTCACGCATTCTAATTGTTGTGTCTCCACTGTCTTGTCTTTGCCTTTGTCGGTTTTCGATAAACGCATCCGTTGTAGCCGTATTGACACCACCCAGATTAATAGATCCATTGCAATATTCCTCATTTCACTGTCAGCACTGTTTACAGATATCTCACATAACGTATTCAAGAAGCTATTTGACTCTAACATAGCTATCCGTTGCTGCCTCTCCATAGCTACGTCAGTGTGAGGACTAGAGCGGACTGTCAATGAAATCTGATGCAACCAATCGCAGCCAATGAAACCGGTCTTCTTAGAGCTAGTCTCGCCTGTTTTGTTTGTGTTTTTGCTCATGTCTTTGGCTGGATCGAAGAGTGTCTTTATGTGAATGAGGAATGTCCGTCCTCTGGCTCTATATAACCGAGGGCTCGTCAGTATTAATGTACCAGATTGTTGTGTCATGTCCAGTCCAGAAGACAGTAATAAAGGTCCCGCCAATATCTCAGCGTTATGTGCTTGTAAGTACTCTTCACTATTGACAGGATTCTCGAGATTCGACATGTCTGCGTCTATAACTGGGAAATGTATCGGGGAGTCTGATCTGTGACCAAAAGAGGCGTCTTTCTTGTATCCGATACCGTGCAAGTTTTGTTTCAGTAACGTTACGAGAATGATTGGAAGATTTGCAGAACAAGCCGAGTGTAAGGTGAATCCAAACTCTATATGAGCTAGTGAGACACTGTAAGGTAATGTAAGCTCCAGGACGTGCTCGTCCCACGTTGATGAAGTGTTCTGTAACCTCCATGTCCTATTATTTTGATGATCAGATCTCGACCTTTGTGCAGGTGACAGCTCACACCAAAACCCAGGCACGACTGCGCTGTAAGGCACCGTTGTATTAGTACCATAATAGCCAGTCAAGTTTATCAAAGTCTCTAGGTCGGACAAGTCGAGTTCAGTCTTATTAGCAATGATGACGGGTGCAGGGGTCGGGCCACATACCTCGTCCCGCGGCGCGCGCTGCAACATGTCGAAGTCAATGTTAGCGAATTCATCTTCGTCTATATCCCCTGCGTTGTCCCTCTCGCCGTTGTTCAGTGCGTAGAAGTATATCATACCGTGCTTGGTAGACACACTGAGCCGTTCCACTGACGCACAGAATACTACAGACGTGAACTGTCCCTTTGGTACGCGCTTCTCTGACAAAGTCTTGAAATCAGGCAGTGAATACAGCCTTAGGCTACCGTCCACTCCTACTGCAGCAAATGAATATTGATCCTGTTTGTCAGGCGGTAACAAGCACAGGTCTACAGGGCTTTCGTGGAATGGTAACTCTTTGAAAGCCACAGGGTTGTCTTCCAGCGTGTATATCGACGTCTTATTGTTTATTTTATAAAGGATGAAATAAGCCTTCGCGTCAGATTTAGGTTTATCACTGGGTTCGGCACATTCGTCCACGTCCATTTTGATATCGCCATCATTGTCAGTCTCCTCCTCTACCTTGACCTTCTCTGGTTCGATACTTGATATGACTACGAGCAGATGCTCCTTGTCTTCAGTTGGCAATAGATGCGTCACTTTGGAATCATCTTTCAATGTAAGTTTAGCTGGAAGACTGAGGCACTGGACAGCAATGCCTTGCGAGACGGCCTCTTCCTGCGGTGGGTCGCTGTCGAAGCCGTCGTTATTACTGTTTGTGATTGCAGTCTGTGTACCGACTTTGCTTCCTCCTCCTCCGAACGTTGTCACTTTTACTTTTTCAGTTCCATCTCCTCCTTCGTACCACTTCAAGTCTGAGATCTCTAGAGGTCCATTCATGTTGAGATAATGTGTGATGGGGTCAGCCTGTTGGAACACTGCGTCAGTTTGGTCAGCTAGTTTAGTGCCTACAGAGTCTAGGTTGCCACTCTTCCAACTCTTCAGTTGTGAGATCTTGCCTACGAAGTCTAGCATGGTGGCTTGTCCAGCCTCTTGTAGTTCAGGTAACAGGGCAGTGGGAGGCGGAGGGGGCATGGTTTTAAAATGTTTCGGCACTATTATTTTCTTAGGTTCCCATATTTTGCAATCTTCCTTGCTGGACGATGCATTCAAGTTAATAACATTACTAATCTGCTCGTCTAAGCTATTTGTGCATTGTGGAAGCTCTGTGTCCTCGTCAGAGTATTGGAAGTATATCTCGTCGTAAATATTCGCGTCGTCGGGCCTCGGTACCGTGCACACTTTCTTGCTACCTCCGGGTTTGGAGTTACCGCTACTGTTTGACGTGTGTACTACAGTGGTTATTGAACCAGCTAATGAGCTGTGTATGTCATATGTTAAAAGGAAGAGCATTTTATTTGTTGTCAAGTTATTCTTTGCTTCATTCTGATCGTTCATTGCCTGAACGCTTTCTTTGTCGGCTCCCGAATCGAAGAGCGCCTTGCTGGAGTCTTCTTTGATGGGCTGGTCAGTCTGTGTGGTGTTTGTCCTAGTGATGATGACGGCGCAGATGAGGGACGGTTTCGTTTTGTTGGTGTTCGTCTCTTTCTCTGTGCTCTCTGTGTTTTGTGTCTGTGGGTAAACTTCTTGCTGTGACGTCATCCCGACGAAAGCCATCGCCGTCAGCTCGACGCCGTATGTAGCTATAGCAACAACAATATTTTATAAATTACTTTTAAATGAAAAAAAACATTAACCACATTAAAAAGTTTGTGAAAGGGAGGAAAACCAACTGTGTACCAAACAACAGCTGACAAAACAAAACGATTGCATTTTAAAACACAAGTTATTGATTGATAAAAAATATACATTAATACACTAATAAATTAACATTTGAATAAGTGGCATTAATTGTCCGAATGTACACCTCTGCTTACCTCTTCGGGGATAAAAGGCGTGATGTTATGTTATATAAATTAACATTTGAATATATTAAATCCAGAAGCAGCTGAATGAATGCAATACCAGACAAAGTACTCACAACTATCCTTCTCCAAGCTTGCAGACCATACTTTATTGCTGTCAGTCGCCAGTATGCCACTGAATATCGAATCATACGGCGACAGGTGAATGAACTTGACAAGTTTGAGGCCACAGTCGAACCGCCAGATGTTCACTTTGCCCTCAGGAGTGCCCGTCGCGATGAGGTCCCCTGTGTTGCCCTTCGACACCACCGTCACATTCGTACAAGGCACCGCACATGCTGTCGCGTTGGTCACCTGCGGATAATTGAACCGGCGAACTATGACACACCGAACTAACCATCCACTGGCACCTAAGTTCAGGCTCTACGATAGCACTCCGTCATCATTACGTAGATACTTTTAAAAACGCCGCGTCACCTAAGGAGCAACGGTACTTGATCCAGTAATCTTATCTGTTTATATTCAATTTTATTATAGCACTAAATATTTACTTAGATTGGCAACAAGTCTTCTTGTACACTAAACTGTCATTGATGATGTATTTTACATATATACGGTGAGTTGAGATAAAAAATTGCCCAGTCACTGCGTCTGTGATGGCTGGGCGCGCCTCCAAGTCTGACTGATAATTAGGACTACTCCTGCGTCGAAACTTTACAAGTAATTGATGAACAGTTATGTTATCGCGGTCGCCGTGCGCAGACGATCATGCGTGGCTCTCAGCAAACATTAGTGCACTAGTGATGGGACATGTTACCTTAGTGATAAACTAGTGATGGTACACCACACCCACCGCAATAGACTGCTGTAGGCGTGTCACCAAATCAAGATAAACCAAAACTTATCTCAGAGATAATTCTAAAAATATTTTTTTATATTAATTTTTTTATCGTGGAGATTAGTTTTAAGAAAAATAAATTATACTATCGTACTAATATTCTAAGCTACTAATGAATTTCACACTAACGAGAATAAAAAATACAGTACAATTTCATTTAAAAAATACGAGCTTTTAATTAAAAAGAAAACAATTTCATATTGTATCTTAATATTTTTATTTGGCTGTCTATGGTGGCACGCACACAAAAGATTTACACGTACACGTTGTTCCTTCCATAAAAAAATACAAAGCATGTGTGCAGTGAATGTACTAAGTGAATTTTTTTTAAAGCTTTGAGTACACTGTGAACTTCAATATAATAATTTAAGTTCTATCAAGTGAAGTGCAAGTTTAATTAGTGAACAGTGCAATAACTTTAAATAACTATGTAATAATTTCCCCTTTGAGTGAATTTAAATAAATATGTGACCAATAATATCTGTGTTACTTAATTTAGTGAGTATCGTCTATGGGCATCCATACTACTAGAGGTGGCCAGATGTGTTGCCATGTCAGCAGAGACAAAAACAAAATGGCTAAACTTTCGTCAAATATTAATTACCGGCGGGAATGGAATAAAACAAGTAATGATTCCTAAGTGTTATGTGTTTAATGTGATGATTTTAAAATTTACGTAAATATATAGGTAGCTTAAATTTCATAGAGTAGTTTTAAGTGGCAAAGAGAAAATTGTGATTTAGTTATGTGAATGGTTTTCAGTAAGATGTATGTATGTTTCAGTAATATAAGGAGTAAAATGATTTCAGTGTTGTTAAATCTTCCCACAAAGTCTAATTTAAAAGTGCCAAGTTTGAGATTTTTAATATTGTAATCGATTTCTTGAGGTATTCTACTCCTAATTTGAGAAAGCGTTTGGTATAATAAAAGTTCATTTACCTATAAAATGTTATATTTATGGCAGTGTTTCGATTATGTCGGCAAAACATTTACGTTTGTGAACATATTCTGAGCTATCTATTATCATTAAACTGTCAAACACCAAGCGGTAACCGGTGACCGCAACCTATTGTTCTATAATTGTGTCTACAAAACCGGTACTCGACGAGTTAATTAAGAGATCACAACGTTAAATGTATATAAATCTAACATTAATTATTACAGTGAAATATCAGATCAGTTTCTCATAAGAACAATTAAAAAAGTTACACAATATTATGACATGTGTATGTATAAGCCTGCGTAGAATTTGTATTTATTTTACTAATCATGTGTTTCTCACGCTTGTCATCATGAAGTTACTAGTTAGTGAATCTACAAAGGAATCCCAACCAATATCTTTGTAAGATAGTTGTGAACTTCACAATCTATCAGGATACTTTAAATAAATATAAATAAAAACAATATAAAATAAAAAGCCTTAGGGTTAGTGGAGAGCGGTCGTCAATGACCACTTGAGGATTGAGCAGGCAATTCCGATGGTTTTACTTAGGCAGTGAAAATAACCTCTTGTCTTCTCTTAAGGTCTAGATTTTTATTCAGAGAAGCCCAAATGCTATTAAACTGTTGTCAAAATCATCTAGTACGTACACATGTACTTACTCTGGGACCCACAAAAAGCGGGTGTGCAACTATAAATATCACAATTGGGTATTTGCCAACTAGTCAAATATTTTTTTCGAACTATCAAAAACGACAGTGTTCTATGAATTATGTACGAGATTGTGTATCACGTTTTTTTAAAGAGCTTACTTATTTTTGTAAAATTTGCTGGAAATATACTAATATAATCATAAAATCCAATTAATGAAAGTGTGATTATTTTTATTTATTTATTTAACTCGTCGAGTACCGGTTTTGTAGACACAATTATAGAACAATAGGTTGCGGTCACCGGTGACCGCTTGGTGTGTGACAGTTTAAACTCTTATGTACACAGAAACAAGTACATAATGGTACATAAGGCGGATATTAATGCCATATGGCATTCTCTCTCAGTCAACCTTAGGGTTAAATAGGAAATCGGCGAAAAATAAGCATGTGTAATTATAAGAAATAAATAACATAAATATTTTTAAATATTTCATTTTAATCAACTGTTTCGACAGTTGATCCGGTCCGGTTAGGCAAACTTGCAAGAAGCTATGGTGTGGAAGCACCTGCACACTTGCATACACTGTGTAAGTAAAACAATAGGAAGGAATTATAAAAAAAAAACAGTTAATTACGAACCGAAACATCGTTTATTTATTCTTTTACTAGTCTCATAGAAAACCTAAATAAAGAAAAAAAGCATATAGGAGCAATAAAGTAACCTTTTTTTGATCTGGTTAAAAAAAGTAAGAAAGAAGAGCATGCTTACCTACATATTTTTTTTTATGAAATAGGAGGCAAACGAGCGGGCGGATCACCTGATGGTAAGCGATTAGCGCCGCCCATGCACACCCACAGGTGCGTTACCGGCCTTTTAAAAAGGAATACGCTCTTTTCTTGAAGATTTAAAGGTCGTATCGGTTCAGAAATACCGCCGACGACAGATCATTCCACAGTTTTACTGTGCAAGTCAGAGAGCTACGTGAGAAGCGCACAATTTTATAAGATATCATTTTATAAGATACGGCACATAATGAAATAATATTTATGTAGTTTGTAAGACAATTTTGTGTGCGTTAGGTATATGTTTCAACTCTGCGTCGAAAAGGGAAAATTTCACCTACATACATATTTTATATTAATACATAGGCATCAAACATATGTGAATCAAGGTGAAAAGCCATTTATTACTTTCTCTTTCTTTTCTCCAACATTTTCAGTAATAAAATAGAGTGAAAAAATATAGATATTATTTAAAAAAAAACATTCCTCCTATGATTTCCACCCGTATCATACATGACATCCAGACCCAGAACAACAATTTCTGGACAACACAAAGAGTTGTTCCATGAGGGAATCGAACCCTCGAGAAGTTGTGCGGCAGCCGGTTGCACAGCCACCGCACCAACCATGCAGTCTGCAGTTGATATGCTTTAATCAAATGTTGTTAACATGCTAATGGCATGTTAATGATGCAATGAAAACTAACTGTACCTCACACAGTGACTACCCCATTAAAAAAACCGTAACTTAACACCAATACTGATACATCACGCGTTTACCCAAACCTTTAACAAGCTTTGCAATCAACAAAGCGAATTTCATCATACATTACAGATGAAATACCAAGAAGTTTGTATATCTATGAATCACGGTGAAATAATACATTCGAATAATGTCGAATCAGCGTGGCTTGCGATTCAAGCTCTTTATCTTACGTCATATGACGAGTTATGATAATCGTGTATACGTAGTACAAAAAAATGTACTGACACAAGTATGACATAATTTGGACTTTGGTCTTTGATGGACGTCAGCAACTAAGTGCTTTTGTACCCTGGACTGCAAAAGGTGGTTTCCTCACGATGATTTAACAAATGATTTTATATGGTTAAATTTCAATAACAAACTTTATTTCGATGATATAGAGATGAAATTCGCACACGTTTGTAGGTAGATTGTCGTGCTGTGTTATTGTGATCCTTATGCGGTTAGTTATAGGTCATAGTTTTGTGAGATGTAATGTTAAAGTCCAATCCACTCGGACCGGTTAGTTGAGTACGAAAATAACAGGAAAATATGACTATAAATGTTTTTTTTTAATTAATCATAGGTCTTGATTACAATGCTATTTTTATAACTTTTATAATACACGTGTTTACTGTGATTATGTCAATTTTCGTTAGAAACGATGACTAGTTTTTGACTGAAATATAAGGAAAATGTTTTGAATAGTGACAACAAGGCTTTAAGTAGGTATCACACTCGAATATTTTCATGGAATAACTTCACAACGTAATATTAAACAATAGAAATAATATGTAACTGTTTGAGTGTTTGATAATATTCCTTGACTTGAATGCTTCATATGTAAATACCTACTTCATTTCATAAAAAAAATGCTTAAATTCTGTTTAGTTGAACAAATTGGCAACTATAGAATATAGGATTTGCAGGGGATTAACAAAAAGGTAATAGGGTAGATGACTATTTTTTATTTTAATGTCCGTCTGGTAGATTATTTTAAAACATTAGACGCGTACTTTTTATTATCTTACGGAAACGAATAGATTGGAAGATATATTGATTTGAAATATTGCATGACGTCACTTTTGAGTACACTTTATACTCTAAAACGACGTAGCTACCCCCCACTCCTAAACTTTGATTCGTTTTATCTAAGTATTGTTTTCATACGACAAAATAAAAAAATACGTGTCTAATATTTTTTCATTACCTAACTGACGGACTAATTAGATTTTTATTTTTCATACCCTGTCATCATCCCTATTATTGGGAAAGGCATTTTTCTTTATTAATTAGCACAATGCCCCATTTCGACAATTAATAGTCTGGCTCCTTACATTCACGCCTTTGTAATTACAATTCTCGTGTGAGCTTCCATACTCATGCACCTGATCACACAAACACGCTGTTGAAGGTACTCCTACATACTACATCTGACTTTTTTCTAGTATCTTTCCTTTCCTTCCTTATAATGAGACTAATAACATAACTGGACATATTGGAAAATCGTCTGCCTAATTTAAAGAAATAACGTGACTAAAATACGACAACAACATATTTAACGAAATAGGTAATAATAATAAGTAAAACACATCACAGTGAACTTTTGAAATATTGCGCCAGAATTAGATGATTTTTCTAAGACAGTGAAATCACAGCAGTTTATTGAGGGCGACATAGGGGCCTGTTTCACAATGTGCCAGCTAAATCTGAATTATCGACGTAATTTGTATGAACTATCTGTAACACAAGTCCATTGGGTACTTACCTATGTATATGAAGGTGGTGAAACCAGCCCTAAATCTAAAAACTATATTAAAGACTTCCTCCTCGAATCCTATGATAGTCACGTTGGTCGACGAAATACGGCTCCAATAAAAACTCGATGACGTCAAGTATCCACATAATGATGACTTCTAACAATTTCATCTTAGTTACAAAAATTATGAATCAATAATTACATTAATGAATACTTTGTATCTAAACTTACCGATATGGGAACATTGTGGGTGTATTCGCCTCTTACGAAGGGACAGTTGGGAGAATGCCTCTCATGTTCCACCCAGGGTTCGTCAGACTTCTCCCAGCAGACCAGGCAGACGAGGCATGTGAAGCACATGGCGCGGTCATCACCACTAGGCGACGGCTGGTGGTAGAAGCCCGCTTGTGCCATCCGAGCTGGAAGGGCCCATCTGTTTGGGAAGAAAATTAGTAGTTGGGTTATAAATTCTGGTTGGCAGTGGTTGGATGCAATGAGTAGATAATCGAACTTAGTGACGTGTTATTAGAGAGAGCTATGTCCAAAAGAGGTCGGTAATTAATCTACATACATATAATAAAATTGTAGAAAAGTCAAAACTCGACATTGAATATTTGTTGAAAAGAATACTTGGAGCGTGATCTTCAATCGACACCGAAGCCAAAATTATGTTTTTTAGAATTTTTGTCTGTTTGTGTGTATGTATGTCCGGGATGATCTCAAAAAGTATTGCATGGATTTATTTAAAATTTTGCATGAATATTACTAACAAAACGGGACAACATATAGGCTACATATTATCACGCTATCACCTATGGGACTGAATCAATTGTGACGACATTCATTACCGTAGAATATCCCTTGATAAAAACTAATTCAAAAGCCTAAATTTTGCCAGAGGCCATTATTCTACGCAGACGAAGTCGCGGGCAACAGCTAGCAGGTAATAGTCTTGAAAAAATAACTCAGTTGAATTTAGGAACCGTCTAACTGACGTGTGGCGACATATAACATCTACGTATTACGTGTGAGGCAACGTTTTATAAATAATAATAATAAAAAAGATTACTACCTCAATCAGTAACTAGTGAAATGTGGGTGTAAGAACTAACTGTTCTGTACTTTTGCTGTGTGTAGCACTACGACAAACCCTTTCTCTGCTTGGTTTGACTTTCTGATATTTTTTTATTTTATTTTAAGTAGTATTCGTTAAATCAACTCACTTGTAGTCCATGTGGGGCCATCGTTTGAAGGTCTCCTTCCTCTCGGCCTCGCTGTACATGAGCGGCCTGGTCTCCTCATCGCGGGAGCACGGCACCAGCTCGTTGGCGCGCTGGCCGACTGCGGACGCGATTGCCAGCGCTGGTATCCGCCGGTTCTGACCCTTCAGCTCTTGGACCACGCCTGTGGTCACTAGCCGAAGGGTCGATTGTGGTAGGCAGATTGTTACTGTGCTCCACTGTGGGTAAAGTTTGAGTTTATTTATAAATTGTATATTATGTTCACATTTGGCGTTCCATAGCCTCTGCGTCACTTAAAGTTAAACGTGTAGAAAAGGATAATGAATACTATGTCCAAAATAATGGCTTGGATCCAAACAGTAATTAAATTTATTCCAACTTTGTGTATTCTACAATTATTCTAGTCATTAAAATAATTCGTAGCGATGCAAAGTTCGACAGTATAAGTTTTGCTACCACATATTTATGAATCACTGATATAAACGGGCGCCTAGAAAAAATGAAAGAGCACTGATTTGTAGTAGCGCAAAACGCAGGCGTAGTTACCATACTATGAATCTGTTTGTACATAATATTGTGCAACACTTTTCGTCATTAAACTGTCAAACACCAAGCGGTCACCGGTGACCGCAACCTATTGTTCTATAATTGTGTCTACAAAACCGGTACTCGACGAGTTAATGTATGGTCCAATGATAAAATGAATTAAAATATTTGTCACTTATACTGTCTATTATGAAACAAGTGAGATCGCTCATTAGATGATGATCACGGAAACAACCGAAGTTGAATTGTTAATCTTCCATAATCTAATTTCAATTCTTGATAAACCAACTTAATTTACTGACAATATAGTTCAATTATTCAATTGGAGCCATTATTGGAAATTGTAAATTAATTTGTTTTAATTTAGAATAATTATCAGAAATTGTAGTACATATTTTTATTTTGCTTTTTTATGGAAGAGGAGGCAAACGAGCTGACTAATCACCTGATGGTAAGCAATCAGCGCTGTGCATGCCTTGAATCATATTATTCGGTACTCATTGTTAAAATATTTGCATGCCGAATTTATAGGCGGGATATGATGAACTATTGTTATGTTATAAAATCTGTAAAACACCATATTTCAGGCAAATAACTGAATCTTCATCTATCTATCTAACAATTATTGAAACTGCATAAACTTATTAAGATTCTCACCTTCTGTGCCTTCACTCCTTTCCTGACAGGTTCTGCGTCGATGGAGTTCTTCAGCTCGTTGATAAAGTCTGTCAGACCCTCGATGGAGTGGGCGTCTAGACTCTGAAGACATTGGTACAGGAGCACGGCCTGCAATTAATACAAAATACATTATTACTAGATATCATAAGTACATTCGTCCAATTATCTAGGATAAAAGGTAGGTAATAACTGTTATTTTCAAATCATCTTACTTATATGTATTATAAATGTATTTTATAAGGGGGTAAATCGTGGAATGACTGCTCCCGCCTGAGTGAGGCGGGAGGGAGTATCAGACTCTTACTGACTAAAAACCACCCCGTTCCTACTCCTGCACTTCGAGCCGGAACCCCGGTAACCCGTTAGTTTGTGTTTATGTTTGTTACTTAACTCTGTGAGTACCGTCATTACTACACCAGTGTCCCCGCGGTGTTTGACAGTTTAATCACGTCAAAAGATCACAGATCACTCATGCGGAAGGTTGCCTAATTGTGAACTATGCAACAAAGTAGAGGACGTACAACATTTGCTCATGGAATGTGCCAGGAACAATAATTATAATGAAAAGGAATCATTAATTAGAAAATATAAGTTGAATAAATTAGATGTTGGACTAGTTCAAAACGTTTTAGCAAATCCTAAAACGAAGATTGCAAAAGGGTTGTGTGAACTGGTGAGGGTGACGTTACTTTTCTGATATCTAGACCTTGTTAATGATTCCCTTTCATTTACATTACAGCATATTTAATTAGATAAGGTACGATGGGGTTGACGTATCCATATGGACAAAACGCCTTAAAAACAATAAAGGAGAATAAAAAAAGATCGCGGATGAAGATTATGGTCTGGGATAACTCATACTTGTGTGTGAGAGTGGGAGAGCCATGCTTTGGCACAAATGGGCCGGCTCGACCAGAATGATACCACGGCCTAACAGAAAACCGACGTGAAGCAACGCTTGCGTTGTGTTTCGTCGTGTGAGTGAGGTTACCGGAGGCCCAAATACCCTCCCTTTCCCCAATCTCCCCAATCCCCGAGTCCCCAACGATCCTCAAACTCCTAATCCCCAAAATGCCGGTAACGCACTTGTAATGTAACGCCTCTGGTGTTCCAGGTGTCCATGGGCGACACCGATTGCTTACCATAAGGTGATCCGTCTGCTTGTTTACCGGCTTATGCCACAAAAAAAAAAAAAAATTTTGTCCTACGGGAACGCGGGCGAAACTTCAGACTGAAGTTAGTATTCTATAAGTGCCTTTCTTTCGCAGGTCATTAGTTTTTTCTCACAAAGTAAACAAATTGATAATGTACCCTGTACACACTACATAGCTATTTACATTTAACTTTGGGTTGTAGATGCATAATGTCACTATCTTAATATTGAGTCATACATTAAAACAGCTACATTTAATTTAGTGAAACTTAATTTAGACAAAGATACGTCGTGTATTCACTATTATGGTCAGGTTTTCTTTTATGTTTTTATGTTAACTATGGTGAGACATACTAAATTAACTAAAAATCGCGGGTTATTCACGTGAATATACTGAGAAAACCTCCTCATGAGCAGTGTGCGCGGACGCGACGATGTCGCGCATGAATCTGAATCATGAGGAAGAACCCCTCTGTGGTTCGAAACTTGTAGGGCTTTTCTCAGTATATTTACGTGAGTAACCCGCGATTTTTAGTTACCCTGCAATTAGTTACTATCTTAAGCTCCCATGAAGAACAATGTGAAATAGGAAACTTCTAAATCTCAAATACAAACTAGAATAATTGTTACTAGAACGAACGTAGCGTTAATAGGAGAAAAAGTTTAATTTTTACAATGTTGATAAACCGAGTAGAACCCGCAACAGCACATGGAATTTTAGTTCCTTTATCTTCAAATAGGTATACAAAATGCTAAACGGAAGTAAACCTATTTATACGTAAGGGTATATTAGTACCCCTTCACGATAAAAGTGGATGACCTTCAGATGTTACGTCATAGCAAAATATAGGTGCGTATGTAGGCAGAAGTTCACTTGGTGCACAATTAAACAAAAATGCTTTGAAAACCAAGCGTTTGTATGCAAAGAATTTTTCCCTTACTTTTCATATCGGGATATTTTTCATTTTGTTTCCTCTTAGTCTTTACCTAACTTAACTTTGCACCTACCAAACCAAAAACTAATAAACCCTTGAATAAGAGACAGGGAACCTCCTCTTCCTAGAATCGTTCTCCTCAGTGCTGAGGGTCGTGGCCACCCTTCAGCATGAGAGAGAACCAAGGACGTGAAATACGCGACATACAACAAAAAAAGACAAATAAAAATGTCGTATAACAGAAAAATAACGAGGAAGCATACTTTTATAACGTTTTACATCTATACGCTTGCATTGCAACATCTTTTCCTTAAACATCATTCACATAATGAATGTTTCCTTTGCGTTTGCTCTACATTCCATCTCATAAATATAAATATAGCAAATAGGTACTTAAATTAGGTGTCATCAAAACATAGTTATACTTTTTAATTAGGCAGGTAAATGACGTCATTTCGCGTGTTATCACGCATCGTTACAGGGTGAGTATTTGTTTACAAGCCACCGTACGACACGATAAAATGCGGTTACGACTTTACGACTTACGACCGAACTCAATTCTACTAACAGTTTCATCTTTCAGAAGGTTTTGGTTGTGGTCGGTGCGATGTTTGTGCCAGTCGTTATAAATTAGAATGAGACTAAAAAATAACTAGTAAAAATACTACCAACTTTTACACCTATTTACAACGTTCGCGATTATTGAGAAAACATTTTTTACAATTCAATATTAGGAAAAAGCAATATCCGTAATTATTTCTAAAACACTTGAGCACTAAATAAAAGAATATTGAAAAAGAAAAACTAAATAAGACAGAAAACAAAGGACACGGAGTGCCCGAGCCCCTTATAAAGTGTACGATGTGTAGTTACGCATAATACCGTTACCGCAAATAATGGCGTAACTTGTGCAAAAACGCCCTAAGAGGTACTATTTGATGGTAAATCGCTACAATAAACCCTAGAGCCTGACAGCGCACAATTTATTACGTAGTTATACCTACTATATTGATCGAGTCTAAGCAAAAGCTTTCATTCCTAGGTAAGTAGGGCAAAAGTAAATAGCTTTTCGGCTATTCAGAAACTCTTAGCTACAGTTAGCAATCTGGAATTGTGCGTTGTAAATGGATATAATTCGACGATAGATTAAGTTATTCTATTGATAAAGTGTATTCCAGTCAAACAGTTCGATTTTACAATAACCAATGCTGTTCGAATATTGTGTCCACATCATAATTGTATTACATATGATTTACCCTTGCCTAGCCTAGATTGATTTAAGCCTGAAGTTTGACCTAGATACGGCGATGGATACGCCCCCTATAACATGTGAACAACGCCACTACCGGTAAAATGTTTGCAGATACATAGCTCCACACCTCTCAATCTTCTACGTAACTCGACAATTCGACATTAAACCATGGATACAATTTATCAACTAGCATGGATATAGCACATTGTAAAAAAAATTAAAGATATCAAATTACGGGCTATCCGCTTCCTGTATTTCCTAGTGTATTTGACAAAACCTTGCCTTAACAATAACGAACATTACACACTAAATTAATTATTATGTTTTTCGGTTTACTCACTTAATAATTTGACAAGGAACTCGACTAGTTTCAGCGCCAGTCGTAGCGTGACAGTCGTTGCGTCGCGGGTCGCGGAATGCTACTCATGAATATGAGCCTCTAGCATAGCTTGAAACTAGTCAAGTTCCTGGTTAAATAATTACGCGAGTAATCCGAAAAACATAATAACTACAGACAAAATGTCATCAAACTTGGTGCAGCCGTTCCGTAATTAATTACGCGTAGGTAGTACATTTCGTTTTTATATAGAAGATAGATGGTCCGTAACATTGGCAGTTTGCTATCGTAAAACCGGTAATGACGATAAGCTTGCTCTAATGCATAATTTGTGTTGTACTTGTAATAAATCATATCCTGCGACAGACGTGTGTGAATCACTACTTCCTATGGCTCTCGATTGCATTGTGTATCATAAAGATTTTTTTGTATTCATTAGTTTACTTAGCATCGTTATTAAGAAAATAAGTTATTGTCTAGTTGCATTCATAAATTATTGTGCAGTTCAATGTCCGAGTTCTTTAAAGTACTATTGCTCCTCAGTGCAAGTTCGGCAGTTTAGTTTACTTTCGACAGTCCGTTCGCTCTAATATTATGGTGTTGTAAATATTTGTATGTTGGATAGACAAAAATAATACTTAATTGCCCATATAAAAATAACACACCATGAAATATGGCGCAAAGATATGCTTTCAAAAAACCGTTATTGGTCGAAAATATCTTGTAACAGTGGAATATTTCAATAATTAGACACGAATTAATACAGAATACCTATCCAATACAGTTTTCCATAAATCTGAATCCTGACCTGAGATGATGTAAGGTCAACAAATGCGATTCCAAAAATAATATGAACTCCAACACGCATGCGCCAAATCGAGGAAGAAAGTAGAATTTATCTAAATTGTAATGATGTGGGAAGTTTCAGGACTATCAATACTTAGAAATTCTAGAATAAAGATTATCACTTTTGAATGTTGTAATCGTTCTTATTTATTTTTACGAGATCGTTATTCTTTTAGAGTTTCAGTTCAGGTTTAGGAGAGAGAGTCGCTGTTCGGTCTCTGTGGAGATGGCAGCAGTTTAGTTAAACCATTATTGCGACCAAATCTGAGACAAATTGAAGACTATGCTTCTAATGAGTTATAAAGATCATGGTCTGGTTTAAGGTAACGCATGACGAGTGCATTTTAAAATAGAGGCTTTGTCTTCCAGTAATTAGTTACTGTTTAATTAATTTTGTACATAATGTAAGCCAGATTGTTGAGATTATTCATTTCTTCTAAACAACATATTTATCAGTCTATGTGTTGCACGCCTTGGTGCACACAATATGCTTAAAAAACTATACTTTTCTTTTAATTTATAACTAAAATTTATTGATCTGATAGTAATCTCTAAGGAATTTTTAACTTTCATAGTTTTTAAACTAATATATATGAGACTAGCTTCTGCCCGCGATTTCGTACGCGCAATCCCGTTTTCTCCCGTTCCCGTAAGATTTTCAGATTTTTTTTCTGTCGCAGGAACATTCTCCTGACAGTAACAAATACAACAAAAAAAATAGTGAAATCGGTCCAGCCATTCACGCGTGATGCCGTGACCAAGGGAAAAAGGGATTCATTTTTATATATGTATATATAGATTACTTTTTATGCAATTTGTCTGCTCTGTTCCTAAGCGTCAATTTTTTATAAGAACTATTGAGAGACATACCTACTAAATAATTAAAAATAATGGTTTACTCACGTAAACATATTAAGAAAAGCTCTTCTAGTTTCGAGTCGCGGTGACATCGCGTAACCTACTCAACTCTGTCGTATCGTGTTCATAAATAACCAATCAGGAAAGGGTTAAATCTTATATCTTTAATTTCTTTTTTTAAGACTACGTTGAGAAGCCTTGACAGAATTTTTTTTGGTTAGATAGAAGAATTAAAAAAAAAACCCCTAAATTAATGGTGGATGGATACTAAAAATATACGTAAAACTTACATATTATTTACCATACAATTTGGTACAAAAGCATATTCATAAAATATGAATTGTGGTTGAATTTCGAGCACTGAACGACCATAAAAATGTGTAGCACTTATTCATAATTAACAAGCAGTTAAAATGAAGCCTGCTGTGTAAACATTTCATATAATTTATTAATTTTCTCATATTGTACTCAAGTATAGGACTTAAAATGCTAACATCTTTATTTAAAGACAGTCGCAAACACTGTTATCTATTGGAAAGTTAATGTTATTGTGGCAAACAAGCCAACTTGATAAAAACGTGGTCAGTATCGCCCGTAGACTTTTTACCAACATAACAAAATAATAAGATTATTATGTTTTCGACTTACTCACGTAATAATTTGACGAGGAACTCGACTAGTTTCAAGCCATGCTAGATGCTCATATTCGCGCTGCTATTCGAGTAGCAGCGCGATAGTCGCCGCGTCGCGGGTCGAGAAATGCTGCTCATGAATATGAGCCTCTAGCATTGCTTGAAACTAGTCGAGTACCTCGTCAAATTATTACGTGAGTAAGCCGAAAACAATAATTTATTTAATACATCTCACGGAAGTTACAATATAAAATAATAAGAATTCAATTTCGTAAAAAGGCTGCACGGTTGGTGGCTGGACAACTGAGTGCTACACAATGTGTAGCGGCTTCGATTCCCGCATATGATCCTCGAATTGCTGTTTCGGGTCTGAGTGTCACGTGACTGAAGTTGTATGTTTTTAAACGCACCCACGATACAGGAGAAAATCCTAGTGCGGAGCAAGAAGAAATGTGGGGCAACGTTATTAAAAAAAGGATAGATAGATAAATATAAAACATTCTTGTAATTTATTTATTTCCATTCGAATATTATCAAGATTTCCAAGCATATTACTGCATACTTTGTTGTGATGTATATGTAATACAGATAAATAAAATTGGAGTGTCTGTTTTTGTAATATTAAAATAACCGCTTTTTACTACATGCATATGAATATACATATATGGTACCCAAACATTACATTTTTTGTCTGTCTGTCTGTTTGTTTGTACTGGCAAATCTCTGGAATGGCTGAACAGATTTTGACAGGACTTATATTGGCAGGTAGCTCATGTAACATAGGCTACTTATATTTTGAAAAATGAGAAATAAAAAAAAATGTTATTTCCTAAAATTCATATTAAACGAGGACAAAGTCACGGGCAACAGCAAGTCAGTAGTAAAGATAGGTACAAAAATAAATATAAGAACTTTAAGTAACACCCTCTTTTCATATAAATTACTATGTAAAAAGCAAGAATGGTATTACAATAGTAAGTATAATAACTTCCTGTGAACTGTTAAATAAAAATGTATGAAATAATAAGTTCCATTCACATTTCAAACACCTACATCTACATATGAATGAAACACTGTAACTGGATTAGCCACTAATCAAGTTAAAAAGTTGATGCAATCAGCTAAATGAAAACCTGAAATGTTACATTATAACAATGAATTTTGTGTCAATATCAATGTAACAATATCATTGGAAGATGTGCAAGTGTAGCTATGAATGTTTTGGGGCTGATGTGATAATGATGATGCTCAACACATAACATATCATCACGCCTTTTATCCCCCAAAGGGATAGGCTGAGGTGCACATTACAGCACCTAATGCGACTGTACAATGTAACACCCACTTTTCCATTATTTTATGTTATGAGTCCCATGTAATAGAGGGTGAGCCTATTGCCATATACTAGGCACATTTCCAGACTCCGTGCTACTACTGAGATTTTTTTAAAAATTCAGAAATACTTTGCCCGTTCGGAGAATCGAAACCAAGACCCCATGCCCGGCAGTCGCACTTGCGACCACTCGGCCAATGAGGCAGTCAAACACCTCATTCACCAATATATATATTAAGTATAAGGGCAGCAGAGCACTTGGAGTAATGCATTTTTTTATAGAATAGGAGGTAAAATAGCAGACTGATCACCTGATGGAAAGCAATCAGTGCTACCTATGGACACTCCCCAACACCAGATGAGGCAACGCTATTAAGTAAATAGTAAATCATACACTCTTTTCTTGAAGGTAATAAACGAATTCATATAAAATGTTTCAAATCATGTGTCAGTTTATCTAACAGAAACTTAAACTGTCAAACACCAAGCGGTCACCGGTGACCGCAACCTATTGTACTATAATTGTGTCTACAAAACCGGTACTCGACGAGTTAATTGGCCCTTAACATAATTATTACACAATAGCATAGCACAATGTTACCTTTTACTTCCCATTAAGATAAGAAGAGTTACACATACAATTTTGAAGTTTTTTTTATACTTGAAAGGTTGATGTTTGCCACCAAATCACCTGGTGGTAAGCGATGATTCATCGGTTACACAACATTTTAAGATTTTTTTTAGTCAGAGATAAGAGTTAACCTTCTTATTTAGAGAATGCCTCTTGGTTTAAACTGTCAAACACCAAGCGGTCACCGGTGACCGCGACCTATTGTTCTATAATGACGGTACTCGACGAGTTAAGAGTGGACTGTGTGACAGTCAGACAGCACAACGCCTGTGAAACCACCCAATTAAAAAAATGGTACTGGAAGGTATTGTGTAAAAATCTATTTATTTTATTAACTCGTCGAGTACCGGTTTTGTAGACACAATTATAGAACAATAGGTTGCGGTCACCGGTGACCGCTTGGTGTTTGACAGTTTAATCTGTATAAAATCAAGAGAGAAGAAGAAATAGAAGTGCTCTTTTAGTTTTAATTGGTTTAATTTGATCTAAGTTTATCAAAAACCAATCTTTTCTCATTGTTATCAGTCAAACAATGATAAATAAGGATCTAATTGGATTGTGGAATAGTTCATAATTCATTATTATTTACATCTAACCCTCTTTTTTAAAGAAAGTTAATATTTTTTAAAAATATCCCCTAGGTTGTGGGTAACATACAAAGAGCCAGAAGAACAATTTCTATTATATAGGTAGTTCATGAATTCTATGTGAATTCATGAACTACCTGAAATGTAAATTCCTAAATAATATGTACACCCCCCACCTAACTTTAAGTCATTCTCTACAACTTACCTAATAAACAAAACTACTAACTATTGTAATAAAAAATAATCAACAATCAATACAATATATAAATTACCAATAATATTAGATACTGATGCAGCTTTATTGATTTTATAATAACGATAATATTTGCAGTAATTACTTTTTATCACAAAATCTTGTCAACTGAGATCTTGTTAAACCAAGGTGTAGAGTACTCTACCCTGGCATCTGGCTTACTAACATGACATCTAAATGTGATAGAAGCTAAAGATGTGATGATTTTTGAATGTGGTGCTCCATTGTTCCTGCCTGTCCCATTTTATCCTAACAAATTTGTTAACATTTAGGAGAAAATGTTGTATTCTTATAGGATTGCTGTCAACGGGTGCAGTAGTCGTTAAGAAATACTTTTATGCTATTGGTGGGTAGCAAGATTTTTTGTATTACCATGTACCCATTCAGTGCTTTTTGTATTTCATTAATAATTTAATTATTATTCAGTTTAACAAATTGTAATTTTAAATCATTACGAAATTGTTACATTTTCATGAAAATATTGATTAAATTGATGCTTCAGTTAAACATTAATTTAAAAGATATTGAATGCCTTTACCAAGTTCTTTGTTCTATACTTCTATAGCTTGATATTAGACATAGACAAGATTATGACACACAAGTTGTTATAATTTTCAACACAATTAAAATAATTACATTAGAATAAATTGTGAAATTAATAACAGGAAGAGTGTCAAACAATAGTTATATTAAATTGATAAGAGCATCCATCATAAGAATCTAGTTGGAGTATCTATAACACCATCATTGCATGAATTATGTTCATTGTTGCATATTGTTACTTAGTTTAATTCATTATTGTTCTATTCAAGTAAAGTCTTAGATAAGTTTTAAACATTTTTATGTAATGTAGCTGATATTAACGGGTTTTTAATTTTTATTACTATTCTGATTCTCATTGCATGCTTATTGGTTTTTAGAATATTCTAATGGATAAAAAATAACAAAGAAACAAGAAGGTAGGTAGTATAAGACTTTTTTTAAAAATAAAAGTCTTATCTTTTGTACTGATACACTTTTCTCTTGCATAAATATATAAATAAACACATTAGCATCTCATTTGCATCCAGTTATTGTTCATCATGTTTGCATTACCTACATTTACATGATTAGTGCTACCTATCAATTATTCACGATAGCACCGTGAGTGATTGCATGGCACATACCTCAGACAATACAAGCTCGATCCTTATGATTTTGTCGGGTTGTGAGGAGGGCAGCGGGCGCTGCAGTGCCGTGTGGAGGAGCAGCACTCCATTGTAGTCAGTGCGCGCACCGACCCCACTGCTGTCCCACACGAACACCCGATCCGCCCCCGTCGCATACTCCACACCAAGCGTTCCACCATCATCTTCAAACACAAGACAACACTTCAATCCGGCATAAATGGAATTGTTTATTGAGAACTGTCAAATCGAGAAACAATGTAGGGCACCGAAAAAAGTCACTGCCAACTATCCGTGACTAAAATTAAGCCTAATCTCACCAAATACAGCATGATTGGTAACATAAATAATTATAAACCTTTTGTTCGCAGATAATAAGCGTCTTACTTACCCGCTGACAGACAAGAAGACTGCAGTATCACACCCGAGTTCACATCCAAAACGTGTACACCACCTACGTCAGTCTTCACCAGAATTATATTTAAGTTGCTATGATAAGTTAGAGAAGTAACAGGAAAGTTCATACGTATATAACCATCTTCTCGTAATATCAAAGAATCATCGCCCATCGTGGCCGTGAACACATCTGTCTACACTACGTAAACGCCATTTGTAATTGTATTTTTTTATGTCAAATAATTTAGGAGTGAGTGGCCAGATACAAAATTTAAAAAGAAAACATATTGACAAGTTGCGCCAAAACTTTTATTAAATATTACGTTATTTGGCGTAGAAATGGTTTGGGAATACTTTAAGCAAATAATTAAGGACGTTGTTGTGAGTGTAAACGTCTTTTATCCCGTTAATTTACAATATTATGGTTTTAATTTTATTAAAATATTGCCAGCTTGAAAAACAATTTTCGAGTATGTTCTATAGACTACAAGTAATGCTTTTTATAAACGAAAGACAATAAGTATTTTAACATCTTGTCTTTATAGAGTAGTTATACGTAATAGTAATATAATATCTGTTTTTTTTGTATCTATTGATCTAAAATATTTAAGCTATACACTCACCATGCACACACACAAAACGTAACTGCAATCACTACAAGTTACTACTCTAGTCAAGCTATCTAATCGTTGTTAATGAAAATAAGGAACTAGACAAATATCAGAGATATCTAATTAGAACTTTTTGTTTTATCTAATTATTGTTTTCTTATACGACAAAATAAAAAGATACGTGTCTAATATTTTTTCGGACTAATTACATTTTCAATTTACATACCCTGTTATCATCCTCATTAGTCATTCGAGTGTACACACATCGACCTTTACATAACCAGTATAAACTGAACGTTAAATGTGCGGAAAAATGATGCGACGCGACACCAGGATAAACTGGTTTTGTATAGATTGATATGACCGTGTGTACAAATAGTTTTGTTTTTAGACGGGATCTGAAATCCGGGTCGACTGAATAATAGCATAAAATGTTTTAAGATTACTAGTTGAATTGTTAAAGTCTGATAGGAAGTTTTACCCGACCGAGCCTTATATATGGGTAGTAGTTTCACTTTTAGATTATAAAAAGTATATAAATGCTATTAGACTAGCTTTTATCCACATTGATTTTTGATTTTGAATAAGAGAAAGGCTTTCACTATTGTGTGGAGGAACCAGGAACCATAAAAAAGATTAATTCTGGCGTAACATAGGAAAATAAGACTATGTGCAATAGTAATTCCGGAGACATATAAAAAAAGATCACAACTGTATAAACTTTTTATTAAGTAAAATGTATAAATAAACACAAAATATAATTATGTTTCTCTTAATATATTATTATGGACGGATTATTTAAAGCATATAGTATTTGAGCACTTATTCTAAAATTGACAAAATTGTATAAAAAATAAATTAATATAAAAATAATTTCTTATTAAAATTTTTCAAAATTAATTAATACAAAAATAACATTCACTCTACTCAAAATCTACAAACACACTCAGTAATAGGTACATATTCATAGACTTATTAATACATTGATCCTTTGTTCTGTCAAACATTGTAATTATGTACCATCCACTATACTACTAATACCACCAAGACCAACCGTACCAAATTCCCGTGAATATTATTATTTATTCAGGGGAATTTTATATTCTCACAAGACTTTTTTTTAAGGTGTGAATATCATCGAATGACTGCTCCCGCCCGGGTGAGGCGGGAGGGAGTGTCAGACTCTTAACTGACTAAAAACCATCCCGTTCCTTCTCCTGCACGTCGAGCCGGAGCTCCGATAAGCCGTTAGGTTCTCCGCGACTATTCTCTCAAGACTTAGTCCCAAGATTATGCCAAGTTAAACTAGTTTAAATTATTTTGAGGAAATGTTTACATGTATATTTTGTACTGAGTTTGTTTCACTCAGAACATACATGCAAAATAAATTACTCAGATCTGAACATGCATATGAACTTTTACATGTACAATATTTACTATATTATGATAGAATAGAATTCATTAATAATTTGTGACATAACAATACCAATTTCTTGGATAGAAACTAAGAGGACAATCAAAGAAAAGGCAGTTGGATTTAGTGAGAAACGCGTGGCCCGCGCCGCCCACACACTCGCAATACTAGAAGTGTCTTACTGGCCTAAAATTCCCAACTCTCCAACCATTTCAACCCTGACATAGTGGAATTAGGTTCATGGGCCAATGGGCCGTTCATTCCATAAGCCAGTGGAGAGAATAAATAGAAACTGTATATGGTTGTGGAGAGCACAAGGCCTATGATGCAGTGGTATACCGTTCTTCCAAGCTCTGGGCTCAGGAAGCTCTTGATGCTGGTCAACAGGTATTCTGTGAGGATGCCTGTGAAGAAGAAGAAAAGTATTTATCGAATTACGTGTGTTTTAAAAGGTAGATGCAAAATAAGAATATAACTTCAAGCCTGTTAATCTCTGATGGGGTAGGTAGAGGTGTACATATACGAAGTAACACGCACTTTTTACCAGCCATATTTTTCAAATACAAAAATCAAATCCATTTGAATAGGTATTAAACCTGTACAGGGCATTCTTTCTGACTTCGTGTGTAAGACTTCGTGCGTTAGCTTTTTTGAGTAATCAAAAAAGCTTTCTGGGCAGTTGCATTTGCGGGTCTAGCGGTTTCACTTGAGTAACAAGATACTCTACTACTAGCTACTGCTACCAGTTTTAACCTCGTTCATGTAGGATAAAAAGCCTATGTGTTATTCCAGATTATCTACATTTCAACTCGTCTAATGATTAAGTTACTAATATCCACACAAACACACAAACTTTATAATATTACTAAGGTTAAATAACGAGTGTATAATAGTAAGTAATATGTTACCTGTGAGCATGGAACTGAAGACGAGAGCTGGGAAGTAGTGGTGGAAGTAGAGGACGCGTCCCATCGCCCAGAACGGCACGTAGTGCAGCGCCCAGCCAACAAACGTCCACCCCGCTGCGTTTAGTAGCTCGCGCGTTTTACAACCTGGTAGATAAATGCAAATAAAATTGTAAAATATCCATATATATAATAAAATCGTAACAAAGTCAAAACTTTACATAGAATATTTTTTCAAAAGAATACTTGGGCGTGATCTACAATGTTGATACCGAAGCCAAGAATTTTTAAAATTTTTGTCTGTTTGTCTGTATGTATGTCCGGGCTAAACTCAAAAAGTACTGCATGGACTATGTTAAAATTTTGCACGAATATTACTATTGTATCGGATCAATATATAATCAGGCTATCTATCAACTAGGGGGGGAGTGAATAACTATTCTACGCGGACGAAGTCGCGGGCACAGCTAGTAATAATAATAGGGTAGATTGCTAAATTTTATTTTAATGTCCGTCTGGTTTAATTAAAACATTAGCCACGTATTTTTGCTTTTATTAAAAAAGTATATACTTTCGACGATATATTAATTTGAAATATCGTGTAACCTCTCACTCTTAAACTTAACGGCATTTTATCTAAGTATTGTAACTTTATACGAAAAAACTGACGGGCCAATTACATTTTAAATTTTCATACCCTGGCATTGTGTTTTTATTATTTTATTTTTAATAGGGTAGTCCCTATTAAAAATAAAATAAAAAACACACCAAACTTCGCACACACATCAACAGTCTATTAATGCCTCCCTCTATATAGGAGGAATTTGCTACAATCTCAATACTTGGCGAAGATTCAGGTTTATGCCGTTGGCCGAGTGGTCGCAAGTGCGACTGCCGGGCAAGGGGTCTCGGGTTCGATTCCCGGGTCCTACTAATTTCAAGTTTTGCTGTGTTCGACGGGGTCCCTTAGTGTTATGTTACTTAAAATTGTATTTCCTACCACTTATATGATATAGATAGATAGAAGTATATTATAGATGCAATAAATATCTACTTGAACTAGCAATCTTACCCAATGTGTTAAGTATTCACTAACAGTGTCGGTAATTAGGTTAGTATTAGTTAGTAGGCTGGAGGCCCAAATTAGAGATCCAAATCTATTAAATTTTGGGTTACTCATGTGAATATACTCACAAAAGCTCAACTAGTTTCGAGTCACAAAGGGGCTCTTCCTCATGAGCAGCGTGCGCTATATTGGTAGTAGTGACCAAATCTATTAAACAGTTAAATATAACCACACACCTTAACATCTTGCAAGGACCTTTTGTAAAATATATTTAAAAAATTCTACTTACTCGGTAAAGGAGTACCAAAAGCCTCCGCCCTTTTTTCTCTGATGGAGTTGATGACGTATATGAAGAAAAAGACAGCCAAGAACAGCAGATTCCCCCACCAAACGACCGGGTTACCTAGTAGGTAGATCCTGTGTGAGCTGCCTGAGAAGAACTGACCCTGGGACAGAAGGGTAGGTGTTATTGTATATAATATTATAATATTTCGTATGTTATAAGATTGATCATCCTGGATCGTTCAAGAGATGAGAAAAACTGTAAACTGCATCAGTACTTTTACCACTAGACGTGGGTTGAGACTAATAAGTTTTGAAAGGTGTTTCGATTTTCGAAACAAATAGGACTGTTAAATAATCTAATTGGTTACAGGTCCATTCAAATCAGCCGATTAGAAATTCAATAGCAGGTATACATCTGGTGATTCTGACTGACATGATCCTCGTTTTTTATTTTCCTCAAATAATATCTTCTGATTTATTTATCTTTTCGGGATCCAAGACAGTTATTCATGTCTCTGAGACGCGCCGGACTTCAGTGTTTAGGTGTTTTCATGATTGTATCTACTGTATCCTGACTTACATGAGTTGCAACGGCTTTGGACCGATGGGTTGTAGCAGGCTTGTCCCATCAACAAATAGGAGATGATCGTCGTGATATTAGTGTAAAAAACCCACAATATTTAGGGTTCAACTTCCTGATTGTAATAGCGATCTCAACAAAATTCAGTATAGTACATTCCTAGAGGGAATTAAATAAATATAGGTACATATTATGTAAAACTTACCCTATAATTGATAGGCCACTGCCACGGTTGTGATGTGACCTCACCCTCCTTCGGCTTGAGTCCCGCGTTACCCTGGAACATGACTGCGTGCGACTCCAGGAATCGTTCTATGAAGCCTGACGCGTACGCCTCGAAACTCACCTTTGGCACTACGGAATAAAGTGGAGTTTTGATTAACTCACTTGTCAGACATTCATACTCGTATGTATTATAGTAGTTGTAGTTTGTATTTTTTTATGGCATAAGCCGCTAAACGAGCAGACGGATCACCCGATGATAAGCAATCGGCGTCGCCCATGGACACCTGGAACACCAGAGGCGTTACAAGTGCGTTACAGGCCTTTTGGGGATTAGAAGTTTGAGGTTCGTTGGGGATTGAGGGATTGGAGAGATTGGGGAAGGAGAGGGTAATTAGGGCTCCGGTAACCTCACTCACACGACGAAACACAACGCAAGCGTTGCTTCACGTCGGTTTTCTGTGAGGCCGTGGTATCACTCCGGTCGAGCGGGCCCATTTGTGCCGAAGCATGGCTCTCCCACACTTGGTATGTTTATCTAGTTATCACATGGGCACGAGCACTTACGCTTCAATTAGATTCAATTAGAAAGAGCTCTTGTCTCTATTTAAAGAGCACGGCACTAGTTGGCTTTTGCGAAACCCGCGGAAGGAGTACGGAAAATATATTCTACTCTGGGGGTACTCCACTGTTTGATAAATAAAAAAAAATCGTAAATACAAACGGTCAACAACAATATAATGATTTTTATAACTATCGTGAGATATACTAAATAACTATAAATCGCGGGTTACTCACGTGAATATAATGAGAAAAGCTCAACTAGTTTTGAACGTACGTACCGAGCGCGTCAACATCGTCCAGCGCGCCGCCGCCGGAGTTGGAAGCAAATGTCCGGCAGAGGGCGCGTTGGGCTAGATGCTGAAGTACAAAAAAAATAGTGCGATTTTGTATCAACACCGATGCGAGTGCCTACGCTGCTCATGAGGAAGAACCAATCTGTGGTTCGAAACTAGTAGAGCTTTTCTCAGTATATTCACGTGAGTAATCCGCGATTTTTAGTTAATATAATAATTGTATATACAAACGGTCATCAAAAACGTTGTCCTCTACGTTCCAGAGCGCGTTCTTGTCTCTAAGGTTGGGGTTGCACGCCACCTCCTGTTGCTCGTAGCCCCACTTCGGAAGCTGCTTGCCGGTTGTTGTCAATACGCAGGCCTGAAATGTATAGCAATTATAGTTGATTAGTTTTTACGATTACAATAATAATAAATAATCTTTATTCAGAAATGTAAATGGACACAAATACAAAAACATTGCTTGATTACACAGACCTGTAAATAATGCACGAACATGAGTTTGCTTCTAACAGTCTGCACGTCGTCGCCATCTTTCCCGCCAGATATCACAACCTTCCACACATCGTTGGCGTCACCGATACCATCCTGAAGATAGAAAAAGTAAAATACAATCGTATATTGGCTTTCTGTATTTCCTGAAGGGTATAACCTGGGTGTCTTCAAGGCCCGAGTGAATAGGTTGCTTATGGGACAACGTGCTCCATCGTAGACCGCATCATCGCTTACCACCAGGCGAGATAGTGGTCAAACGTCGGCCCATCTAATATAAAAAAAAATATATAAAAAAAATCTTAAGTATTTCACGTGGTCTCAATAGGGAAGAAGCTCGGTGTATGCCAAAAGTCTTATGCTTCAAGATCTATTATAGCTCATGGTAATCTGTTGCTGAACTATCAATACTCAATACTGTATTGCTTTCCACATGTATTACTTAGGTGGTAAATATGATTAGGACGCAATGTGGACCCTGTCGGGCACAACAATATAAGTTTTGGAGGGAGCACACTCTGACATGTCATTTGTAGAAAAATGAAATGTAAGTACCTACAATAAAATCAATATCTAATGCAATACAAGATAAAATATAATTGAAATTGTAATATTAATGGATAGTTGGAAGTCGGAATAATTTAAAAAATCTTAAACAATCAAAATTAAATACAGAGTCATAATCATAATAAAATAATAAATATCATAATCAAAATTTAAATCAGTCAAAATATAACTAAAAGAACAATCAAATTAAAAACTTTAAATTTTTCCAAAAACTTAATTAATTAATTTTGAGAGAGGTTCGCCATAATTTCAAGACCATAAGGTTTAAGTTTAGCAGGTATTTGATGATCTAATTTAAATCAAATGTCTAGTGGTTCTGGCAACACCCGGGACAAGAGCAGGCATGGTAATGCAAATAAAAATGTATTCTACTACACCTTCACCTTGAAAAGTAAGTAATGACTTACTTTCCATAAAAATGTCTATGGATAGCGCCGATTGCTTACCATCAGGTGATCTATCGGCTCGTTTACCGCCTTATTCCATAAAAAAAATATGAGGTACTGCATAGAATTTAAGGGCGGTTTTCACTTATATCGTCCTATTTGAGGAGTTGGAGGGATGGTATCTGCAAAACGTCTCTCTCATAATTCCACGCGTATAATGTCGGTAGCAAACGCTAGTACCTAATATAAATAAATAAATATAATAAACATGTATTGTGCATTGTGTGGGAGAGCCATGCTTCGGCACGAATGGGCCGGCTCGACCGGAGTGATACCACGGCCTCACAGAAAACCGACGTGAAGCAACGCTTGCGTTGTGTTTCGTCGTGTGAGTGAGGTTACGGGAGGCCCAATTACCCTCCCCTTCCCCAATCTCCCTATTCCTGAATCCCCAATAATCCCCAACAATCCTCAAACTCCTAATCCCCAAATGGCCGGTAACGCACTTGTAACGCCTCTGATGTTCCAGGTGTCAATGGGCGACGCCGATTGCTTACCATCAGGTGATCCGATTGCTCGTTTACCGGCTTATGCCATAAAAAAAATAAAAAAATGACCTCTCCATATCCAGTGACTTGCATGTACTTAGTAGTAAGAGGCGCCCTCTCTCGATGGGAATGTAGATTACGGCCGGTCTGCGCGTGGGTCAGTCGGACTAGGTCCCCACTCCTCACCAGGACCACGCCATCCACCTGTTCCTTGTCATATGGCTTTATAACCCACCGGTTATTATCGTCCTTGTGTGTATAAGTAGTTATCTGGAGAAATGAAAAACATTGTTAATAAAAGTTCTTCAATAAACTTTGGTTTAAAATCTACATTTTTCTCTCCAGTAATTTAATACCTATAAAAGAGCAATTATACAAGGTGTTGTTTTAAGGCCGCGTAATTTTCTAGGAAGTAACTCGGCTACCAATTCTGATTCCGAATCAATAAAAAAAACGGTAGGTTTTTCATTATTCTGTAAATTACGGAAAACCGTAAGTGCGAACTACACCCCGCCGTCTTATAACTAGCTTTATAACGCTCAACACACACAAACTCAAACACGTAATTGATATTATTACTAATTCCATAAAACTCTAATAAGAAACATTGCTGTCGCTTATTGATTATTCTACAATACTGTCGAACTTAAACGATTTATTATAGCCGTATTTTTAATTATTGGCCCAAAACTTTCTCTTACATTGAACCTTTATGACTTCTGCGACATGCCCCCGAGAAATGTCACGGTTTCAAAACTATACCTTGTATACGTATGTATCAACAATTTTGGAAACTACTCCACCGATTTTTTGAAATTTTCAGAGGCTTGTGAGATGACAAATCGATATAGGTAGGATTCATTTTCAGGAAATGACGTTTTCTAAAAAACACTGAGCAAAGCTCAGTTATCCTAGTACTATTCTTTAAAAGGTAAAATTGGTATCATGCGCATTTGTAGCGTATATTTTATGTTTTATTTTTAAACATTGCCCCGCACTAGGATTTTCTCCTGTATCGTGGGTGTGTTTACAAACATACAAGTTCACATACACATGACACCTATACCCGAAACAAGAATTTGTGGATCACACAAAAAATTGCTCCTATGTGCTCCAGCCACCGCACCAACGTGCAGTGTAGTTAATTTATTTGTATTATAAAATACTTCGGAGTTTGTTTCTGCTACTGGACTCATCTATCTTTTAAAATATATACGTTTAAAAGTGCTATTTAGTAACCAACAGAAATAAACAGTGTGTGTAACAGTTCATTAACTTCTCGGGCTATGTGTTTGAGCCTTAGTACAACTTATTTATCATCATGAAAACTATTACGTGTTAAGTTTATATGTATTTTTATGTACCTAAGTGTTGTTAGTACTGTAAATAGGTACTGAATGAGTGATAAAAATGTAGTTATAGGTAAGCTTAACGTTTCATCATATCAGAGCCATGTCCTTGTGACTGTGATTAATTTGACCACTAATCATGGGCACATGCCTGTGTGATAATCCCCTTACCTATACCTACATGATAATTATATGTATCTTTGATACCTAATCGGGTTTGGGCCACCAGAATCCGTCAACTACTGAATTACAATACCGATAGTTGTATTTTGTACCGACTTCAAAAAAAAGAGGAGGTACTACTATGTTCGAATGATATTTTTTATGTATGTTCACCGATTACTCCGAAGTTAGTGGACGGATTGTAAAAAAGCTTCTTTTGTTTAAAATGTTAAAATTAGGTTACACTTCTTAAAATTGGCTAGTTTCCTAGGTTTAAAATAAATTGTTTCAACTTTTCAATGCAATAAATAATTAAAAAATAATCATACTCATCATCCATTGATTTGACAATTTACCTACTTTTGATTTTTTATGGCTAATTTTAAGGAAATAAGTATGCTATTTGACGCAGAAATATGATGACGTCATAAGTTGCGATCCAATACAAAATTCATAGAAAAGTTTCGTTTTTGACATTTCAATAAAAGTATTGAATTTCACTACCTGTCAACTACCGTATTATTATAAAATTCATTGCAGGACTATGGGCGTCCTCTACATAAGAGGGCGTGTCATAATCTCTACGCCTGTCATGTGGGTTGGCGTTTTAGATTTCTCCCTCAGAGCCCTATTCGTGGCGCGATTTACGACGCTCGGAGCGACTCTTGCAGTACAGCTACTGCAAGAGTCGTTTCGCACATCCCAGCGCACGTGAGGTAATTCGTGCCCTCATAGTCAAAGTAAACGCATTTATTTCAATTAATCCTTAACTCGTCGAGTACCGGTTTTGTAGACACAATTATAGAACAATAGCTTGCAGTCACCGGTGACCGCTTGGTTTTTGACAGTTTAATTAGGTACTTTAGAAACGTCAAAAATTGAATTGTCCGTCCGTCTGTCAGTCAAGCTAGGCGCTCGTTCCAAAGTGTAGTTTCGGATGGAGAAGAACGAGCAAGAAACGCCATCGTTACTCTTCTCCTCACGTGGTGCGTCTCCCTCCTTGCTAGCATGACTGCTTCGCAGAAATAGGAGACCGTTTTAGAGCTCCTATTTCTCCGCACCATAGCTTAAACCACAAATAGAACTTTCCTAAAAATAAGACGGTGCTCAGCTCATACAGGGCATACCACCACCGTATACCATCATGTACGCAGCATCAGGTAGTGTTCGCAGTGACGACACCCAGGCACTTTCTCCCGCTAAATTTCTATTATGTGTTATCCCTTAGTCGATTACTACAGTGTCATGGACAAATAGGCAGGTACCTAACCATAACATTAAAACTTATCGGATTGCGATTCTTGATAATTGGAATTACAGAATTACGAATTACCCACGTCACGTTTGAAGGTGTGTATTGTATATCTACCTATCACAACTATTTCATTCAGAAATTAAGTATTTATATTATACTCCGTTAAATCTATTTCATTTTCGTCCTGCGGAAAAACAAATTGCCATAAGGAGTACTTCCGATGTATAAAGTAGAAACATTTTTTTTTTTTTTATTAATATATGGCCATTGAACACTAGACGTAAACTAAATATGTAGGCACTATTCGCATAGCACGTGCCACCTGACGAGAAATAGGTACGTCTTTGAAAATTACATGTGATGATGGCATGGCGTCATGTTTTGATAATGTACTATGAGTTCGTATGCGCTTTCGAAGTTTGCTTTTTGCAATAGTTCACCAGTTATTTTTTGTTTAAAATATTTTATTCCTTTGTAAAACTATTGTATAATATATTTCACGGTGTATTTGGGGACCTTCCTTATGCACTATGTATTAACTTTTTAATGCGACATTTTGCACACAGTTCCTAAAAAAAAGAAATTATAATCAAAGTATTGGTTCTACCTGTTGCTGTCGAGCCCCAACTCCAGAAGGGTACAGATGATGATGGGAATGCAGGTATCCACCTCCAGTGCGGTGGTTCTTGAGAGATATCAGCGCGCCATACGCCACGGTCTTCGGTGCACTTGCGTTGTGTAGACTGTTGCCTTCCAGTCGAGCTTGGAAGCCGGATGAGTAGAAACCATCGCCGTTACCACTGTGAATGAATTTATGTAGCTATTAGTTAAAAGAAAATTATTTTTCTCAAAAGAACATACATGGTTCATATATATATGAGAAACTTAATAGGTACTGCATCTAACAAAAAATGTCGTTAGATTAAAACTGCCTCGTTGGCAGAGTGGTTGCAAGTGCTGGCCAAGGTGTCTCGCATTCGATTCTCGGGTCAGGCAAAATATTACTGGTTTTTTTTAATTATTAGAAGAAGCACGGAGTCGGCAATATGGCAAAAGGCTCAATCCTATTACACGGGGTTCACGCTCACTCATTGGAACCAAAATGGTCCCGTACAGTTCGGTTTCGGAGGAATTTTCTCCCACGGACCCTCCGATTGTGTAATGAGTTCCCTGCCGTGGTTTTCCCAGTGGGCTACAACATGAGGTTCTTCAAGAGGGGAGTGAATAGGTGTCTTAAGGGTTGGCAAGACGCATGTAATGCCCCAAGTGTTGCAGGCGTACATAAGCCACGGTAACCACTTACCATCAGGTGGGCCGTGTGCTTTTTTGCCACACTTTGGTATAAAAAAAAAAACATGGAACATGAATAACATAAATGGTGAATGAAAAGTGGGTGTTATATTGTACAGTGGCAGTAAGTGCCGTAATGTGCACCTCTGCCTACTCCTTCGGGTATAAACGGTGTGACATTATGTTATGTCGTCTTACTTTCACAAGCAACAGCATAAGCAAAACTGTTCTACTGTGCTTCAAAGATGGGATTGATTTAAGTTTAAGGGAAGATGTTGAAATAGCAAATATGACATCTATATTGTTTGTTTATTGTAGTTTCTGAACACAGCTTAAGTTTCCGGTTGTTGTCACCCGTGGCGATTGTTCAAAGTTATTGGGGGAAAGTAGATGCAACTTATGTAAAAAAAATGGCGATGTCAGTAGGCTGCGCGACATCGCGACATCGTCGCGATCGCGCACGCTGCTCATGAGGAATAACCACTCTGTGGTTGGAAACTAGTAGAGCTTTTCTCCATATATTCACGTGATTAATCTGGATTTTTAGTTAATTTAGTATGTCTTTCGATAGTTATTATTATTAATAAGCAAAAAAAATCCGAATGTTAGGTTTAGGTTTAGATTTGGAGTTGTTTTGGTATTTAGATAAGCTTTTGAATTACCTAATACCTATATTAAAGTGTTACCTATATCCTGTACATAAAAAACAAACAAAAAACCCACGCAGTAAATAATTATCGGATTAATCTACCAGATAAAATAATGTATAGAATACTCAGGCGTTACTTTGCGGAAATCAATGGTTCACCAACAACTGGGAAAATATGTAGTTTTTATTCCGTCGAAGGAATGAATTTGCAGTATTGTAGAGTTGCTGGTTGTGAAATTAAAGCCCCGGTGTTCTTGATGATTATTTATTTATTTGGAAACTTCATTGTTACATAAACTTACTATAAACTAATCAAGATAGTTGCAACCCTAAGTGAAGGGATGAAAGGGACTGCGTGGCTATCGTCTTTCAGACCTCCCCTAGCTGGCTAATTCCAGAAGTCGTATTTAGGTTCAGAGAAGGCTGCTAGGCTACCGAACTCTGATCCTCTAGCTAGTAGAATGATGATTTGTTTGAAGACAACTCTGCTTATAAAGGTGGATGGTTTGCATGTGTGATCACTCTTTATAATAGTTGTTGTTGTTTTGGATATATTATATTAGATGGCGCTGGGTCTTCGTTACAGTATGCAGTATGCAGCACCGTCCTCCTGCCCGCAGACAAACGCTCATGCAGCAGAGATGCGACACAAAACACACTCGAGGCGCGGGAGCCGCCGAGTCAACAACTCCTAAGTAGGTTCATTACGTGTCGTGTGTTTATCGGTGCTACATGCTGCAAATTTATTCCTTCAGCGGAATAAAAACTAAATATTTTCCTATTTCCCTACAAAAATATTTCCCTTTGCCATTCTAAACAAACTATTGAAAATTCTTTCATAATGCTTACATGAGGAGTTATGTACTAAATGAATTTAAAAGATAAATACTAGCTTTCGAATACCTCCTTCAAATGCAAATAAAGTATCATAATATTATCGATTCGTGAAATAGTGATGTACAGCAACAATATTGTTGGCTTCCTCTTGGCGATAAAACAAACGAAATGTGTTCTTGCCTTTGCAAGAAGAGAAGAAGAAGAAGAGAAGCAGCTTCGCTTCCATCATTGGGATGTATAATTTATTATTCCAGAGTACATTCTAGATAGATATCTGTGTCCAATATTCAGTCGAGTCCTGGTGGCCTGGAGGTTTAAAACGCCTGCTTCTCATGCATAAGGGTTCAAATGTACCAACAGATCTTACTAGAAAGTACATACATTCTAAGATTATTTAGACACCACTGACAAACGGCGAAGGAAAACATCGTGAGGAAACGTGTGCTTATAATGTGTTATTATAAGTTTGAAACCGCCAACCCGCATTGAGCAAGCGTGGCGATTTGTGCTCAAACTTTCTTCATGTGAGAAGAGGCCTTTAGTCAGCAGTGGCCACTTACAGGCTGTTGATGTTGTTGTTATAATATTTCGTATTTATATTATAATATTAGTAGATAGATAACTAGTAACTCACCTCTTACTGAGAACTGTGAGATGGACCCAGAAGAACAACACGTACAGTAGTGTCGGCCACAGAATCAGCGTCACTGTTCTACCGATCAAGTGTTTCACTGTTAGGCTCTGAAACAAATATCATTTAAATAGTACTACTCTTCGAAAAAGGAAGAACTTCTTGTTTAATATTGTATTGAGGTGACAAGAAAGTATATGCCCCTTTTTTGTGAGGATAGAAAAGCATTGAATGACTCCTTCCGCCCTGGGTGAGGCGGGGGGAGTATCAGACTCTTTCTGACTAAAAAGATAATGTTCCCGCTCCTCAGTCAGACATCTTTTTTGGCGCTACCGGTTTGTCGCGCTGTTTACCTGTATCACGCCTTATTGAATTGACGTCTGTAACACAGGATGAATAGAGTATATTTTTCTTTAACAATAGCTAACACTGAATACTCACGACAGGTTTCTTCAGATCTCCCAACACGTTCCACAAGTCGGCTATGGTGCGCAGTCCTACAAATAGGACGACAAACAGGCCGACAAATTTGACGGACATGGTGCAGGCTAGGGAGGCGCCTAGGAACAACTGCCAGGATAGCATGCGGACGGAGAACGGTTGGAGATTGTTGTCAGTTAGAGTTCGCACCTGGTTGAAATAAGAGATATGTTACTTTATTTCTTGATTGTAATTAGTTAGTTAGTAAGCAACAAAGTTTGGCCACTATTTTTTATGGGATAAGTCGGTAAACGAGCAGACGGATCACCTGATGGTAAGCAATCGGCGTCGCCTACGGACACCTGAAGTACCAGAGGCGTTACAAGTGCGTTGCCGGCCTTTTGAAGATTAGGAATTTGAGGATTGTTGGGATTCAGAGATTGGAGAGATTGGGGAGGGAGGTGATTGGGCCTCCAGTAACTTCAGTCACACGACGAAACCCAACGCAAGCTTGTTTTATATCGGTTTTCTGTGAGAATGTGGTATCACTCCGGTCGAGGCGGCCCATTTGTGCCAAAGCATGGCTTTCGCACACTTGAAATAATCGATTATGGAGATTTTAGTTATTTTTCTGTCTTGTGTGTAAGTAACCAAAGTCCTATTCGAGCATTTTCTGAGCGGTAGGCATAACTTGAGTAGCTTTGTCTTTTTAACTTAGTCGCCAGCGCGACTGTCAAGCAAAGGTTTTAGAATAACACATTGTTTATGATTTTTTTTATTGTCAGTAATGAACTAATGACTAATGAGTTTTAAGAGAGAGAACAAGGGTTTTTCTTAAGTAAGAGTTCAGTTTTTGGTAATATGCTCGCCGGTATGATATGACACGGAACTTATAATTAAGTGAATATACCTAATGTGTATTAGTAGCTATATTTTATAGTTTTTTTTAAGGGGGAATACCATCGAATGACTTCTCCCGCCTGGGTGAATGTCAGACTCTTACTGACTAAAAACCACCCCGTTCCCACTCTTGCACTTTGAGCCGGAGCCCAGGTAACGCGTTAGGTTCTCCGCGACTCCGTATAGGTATTTTATAGTTTAACATTCCAACTTACATAAGTTAGGCAATCCAAGTGATCGCGTAATTCTATATTGAAAGACATACCTACCTTATACGTACTAAACTTCGTGGTTGGCTATTATTTATGAATTTCCTTTGAATAAAGTTGATCACTAGTCAGTTGTGAATATCATTTTTTCATGTTATGGATTTTCCTCATTACTATAAATTGCTTTTTAAAGAATAGGAAAATACGTGATACTTTGAATACTAAGAAAACTAACAATAAATGTTGCAGTGGTTGATTTACGACATACCTTAAACGCTCCGTATATTGAACAGCTCATGAAAAACAATAAAATCGGATCCAACAATATGTATCTATTCAGGGTAAGGAAACCCACATCTGAAACAAAGTAATACATAGTTATTACGTCAGAATTCTAACAAATATGACGTCATGACTATATTATCGTAAGTACTTGTGTGACTTTGGTAAACCCAGTCTCTCTGTCAGATATTAAATTATAGAAATAACATCACTATTTCGTGGAATTACTTGTAACATTTTATAAATTAAAATAATGTATTTACTGTTCATTTACATTTACTGCAAGTAGGTACCTAATACGGAAAACCTTCTGTATTACCTATTTGCTATTACTTATGTGGCTATGTAGTAGATAGATACTATGATATCAGCCAGGCATGTATGTGGTTACCTCAAGTCTTTCGTAAGAGACGACTGAACTCAGAAAACTTTTAAACTGTGGACTCCATCTGAAGGGTTGAGGAAACGATTAATACATAGAGGACTAGAGGTAGCCCATTTTTTTACTATTTCTTTTAAGGGGGAAATACCAATATCATCGAATTAATTCTTCCGCCTGGGTGAGGTGAGGGGGAGTGTCAGAATGTTACTGACTAAAAACCACCCCGTTCCTACTCCTACACTTCGAGCCGGAGCCCCGGCAACCCGTTAAGTCCTCCGCGGCTCCGTATCGGCATCAGCCCTATTGGGCCCCATTCGTGGTGGTCTGATGGCTCTTTGAGGCAGCCCATAGAATGATACTTTACTAACATAAGCTGTTGATAATGAGTATCATGATCATAATAAGCATAAGTCGGACGGCGAGCATGGGTGGCTCCCCGTCCGACCAGAAACAGACCCGAGCGTACGGCGCGTCGCGTTCCGCGCGCGCCTCAAAGAGCCATCAGACCACCATAGATGGGGCCCAATACGGCCGATGCCGATTCGGAGTCGCGGAGAACCTAACGGGTAACCGGGGCTCCGACTCGACGTGCAGGAGAAGGAACGGGGTGGTTTTTAGTCAGTAAGAGTCTGACACTCCCTCCCGCCTCACCCAGGCGGGAGCAGTCATATGATGATTTTCACCCCTTGAAAAAAAAAGCGTTTTTTTGTTTTTTTTTTTTATTAATTTGGATGCCCTAACATATTATGAGAATTGAATCTCACAACCTTATGACTAGCAACCAACAGTAGCGCCTAGACAATAAACATGTGTATAAAGCACACTTACCACACAATAACAGCATGGTCCCAATTAAAGTAGACTCAAGTGATTTAGTCATTTCCCATATAGTTAAAAATGTCAGGGGAATTATTAATGCCCCTAAAGTAGTGCAGAACTGAAACAAAAAGTGAACATATAAATATTGGTTCATCATTTTATTGTTATTTTTTTAACTATCCTGAGACATACTAAATTAACTAAAAAGGGTTATTTACGTGTATATACTCTTCATGAGGAAGAAGAACTTCTGTCACTCGAAACTAGTAGAGCTTTTCTCAGTATTTTAACGAGAGTAACTCGCGATTTTTAGTATATCCATTATTTTATTATTGTGCTAGACAATGTTTATGTTTACATAGCAGCATTTCAGTTTTAACTGAGGAAGTTTAATAAATTTCATTGGCCGAGTGGTCGTAAGTGCTACTAACGGGCAAGGGCTCTCGGGTTCGATTCCCTGGTCGGGCAAAGTATTACCTGTATTACCTACTGGGTTTTTAAAAAAATCTCAGTAGTAGCACGGAGTCTGGATGCCCGGTATATGGCAATAGGCTTACCTCCTATTATACCTATAGGACTCATAACATAAAATAGTAAAAAGTAGGTGTTAAATTGTACAGTGGCATTAAGTGCCGTAATGTGCACTTCTGCCTACCCCTTCGGGGATAAAAGCATGATGTTATTATGTTATGTCTACTTTTATTAACATTACGTGTGTTGTTAAATAAATTACTTACAAGTCTCATTCCTTCATAGCGAGCCCCTTCGTACTTGTCGCCTGGCTTCTCAAACGGAAATGTTCCGTCATATCCAGTCAGTTTCCCAGACAGTGCTATAAGCATCTAATAAGTAAAAAATGAGAATAAATGAGTTTTATGGCAGGAATTAATTGTCCTTAACTACATAAAGAATACTAATATTTACATTTCATTAAATCTTTCCAAATAATAATGAATTAGTTCCTTATTCTAGCTAAAACTCTAGAATGGCTGAACCGATTTAGCTAATTTTAGTCTTCAAATGTTTGTAGAAGTCCAGGGAAGGTATTAAAGGTAAGAAATAAAAATTTTTTGGCAGCACAATATTTGCGAGGTCAGTTAGGTTATTCTTACATTCTGGTAACACAAAGACTTACCTTCCCAAGAGGTGGATGAACATCAAAGAAGAATGTTCTATTTATGTACCAACTAGCCATCTTACCGAAGTGAGTTTCATCCCAACTGAAAATTAAATAAAAATTATATCATCCACTTTACAAATACATAGTATAAAACAAAGTCGCTTTCGCTGTATGTCCGTATGTATGCTTAGATCTTTAAAACTACGCAACGGATTTTGATGCGGTTTTTTAAAATAGATAGAGTGATTCTTAAGGAAGGTTTGTATGTATAATACATGCATATTGCACCCGTGCGAAGCCGGGGCGGGTCGCTAGTTACAAATAAAATGTATACTTCTATTGGATTTTGAACTAATACAAAATATTATTACCTTAATTATTATTACTAAAATTATTAAAACATTGATATATCATACTCAAAATTTGTTCATATAAAAGTAGTCTTTAAACATCGGAATTAAGGTCTATAATGGTGTTAGTGGAGAGCTGTCATCGGTGACCACTTGAGGATTAAGCAGTTAATGTCGTTGATTTTACTTAGGCAGTGCAGAGCAGTGTAAAACAAACATTTCAAAAGTACCAAATTATGGTTTAATTGAAATAAATGCTTTTGTGTTTGAGTGAAATTAACCTCTTGTCTGTCGATATATGAGACACAATAGAAAAGAAATTGTGTCTTGTGTTGATCTGTGTTCCGACAGGCAAGAGGTCAATGTCTGCGGACACAGTTTTACAATATTACTTGTTACTTCTCATACAAATAGGATCTGATGTTTACAAGAAGTAACATATTTTAGATTCAGTAGTCAGTAGATTAAACATTAATTTGTTGACTACATAGTTTAAACTGTCAAACACCGCGAGGACACCGATGTCTGCACACCTATTGTTCTTTAATTGTGTCTATAATGGCGGTACTCAAAGGGTTAATTGATTTACTGCATTGAGTATTTGCAAGTCTGGTGGGGCAAGGGGTCTTGAGTTCGATTCCTGGGTTGGGCAAATTATTAGAGGGTTTTTAAACAACATTGTCTGTAGTACACGGAGCCTGGAATTGTTCCCAGTATATGGCAATAGGCTCACCCTCTATTACATGGGACTCATAACATAGTGAAAAGTGGATGTTACATTGTACAGTGGCATTAAGTGCCGTAATACACCTGTGCTTACCCCTTTTTGGGGTAAAAGGCGTGATGTTATGTTATGTGATAGTGAAATCGTAGTGTTCTAACAAGACAGAAATGTAGGGAAGATTTTTTCTAATTACCACACATGATCAGGCTCCAAAACTTTATAAAATCTAGTTACAAATGTAGCACCACACAGTATACCGAAAGTAATCCACCATCTGCAAATAAAAAGTTTGATATAATATTGGAAATTTATTTACAAAGTTTTAAAACTAAACATAACATTGTAGAATTTAGAAAGTACATTTTATTAGTCGGTTTTGCCGTTTCACTACTTTTCTTCTTTTCACACATTGTGACGGGACAAATATATTGATTAAACTATTAGAACATAATTTATTTAAACATTTTTATTCAAGAATTTTAGCGAAAAGTGTACGAAAATAACGGTACAGCGATACGAGACACATAGGCCGAAATGACAATTGACAGTGACAATCATAAGGTCAGAAAACTGGCAGCTGTTTCCGGGTTGCCATTACTATCTTTGACTGTTTTGCATTCGAAAACAGTCAAAGATGTATTCAAAATAAATCACTGCATTTAAAGGCCATTGTTACTTCATGTAGTTTGTTTCTGTAAATGATTCAGCATTTATTCGTAACGAGTATAATATTTCCTCTTTCGAAATAATGGACTCCTAATCATAAGCAGTCCGTCTTTTATTCTATCGTAGTTTTAACATTGAGTTTACCATCATTAGAAAGAAACCGATTGCAGTCATTGAACAACAATGTTCACTAAGCAAAACATACATTTTTGTTCTACTGATAAACAGCAATTTTATAGCTTAAATGCAGATAGCTGTTTAGACTTCTGACTAAGGAATGTCGTGAAAACGGAACGACTTGTTTAGAAGTGACATGGAAATAGTGAGGTAGATAGGTTTAGTTAGTTGACTAGATTAAACAATGAAAAATAATATAATCTCTTAAGGTCTAATCATCAGCTATTTATTTATAACTGTATTTGATCAAAAACATTCCCTTCGTTCCCCTGCATGACAATCCAGTCACTAAACATTATTAAAAAATATTTTACATTACGCTATAATATTTTGCAGTACCTACCTATGAGTATAACTGCAAAATAAATAAACCCAGGTATAAAATAACTAAAGCTTAAAAATAATTAAGAACTTGTATATCATGTAGTTGTATGAAGAAGCTTTCATGACTGAATGTTAGTAAGTTCGAATTAAATAAATGACTACGTTAATATTCAAATAATGAATGGACATTTTTATGAGAACTTTTAAACTAATACTTAGGGCTTTTAAATATTATCAGTTGTATTTAATTCTTTTTTCATATTAAAAGTTTAATATTTTAATTGCAAACGATTTAATAACTGCCATCAATATTTTTTAATACTTCTAGTTAACTGCTGAAATTAAATTATGAAATGTAGTTGACTATACAAAACTGGCAAACGGCCATCACTAGCGATAATTTGACGCGTGAAATCGTGAACAATGTCAACAAATAAGTTTGTAAGTTCGTCTTCGCTGATTCATGTGTCGATAAAGTAAACAAATAAATAGTAATTCGCATCGCCTTCGCTGTTCATTTTGCTAACACAGTAGTCTCGACTATGACGGTGAAGTGACGATTACATCATGAATGTAAATAAGTACTTAATAATTTTTAAATTGTTATTATTTTCGGGTTGTTTGTGTGAAATAAGCGAGGGTGAAAAAGAGAAACTTTTGAATGGCTTCCTAGAACATTATAATAGTTTACCTAATCAAATATACCAGAGCAATGAGGGATCTTTGCAAAGTACGCAGCAAGTGGTAAGTCACTAATATTTTTTTCTGATTATTATCGGGACTTATTTTAAGTATTGACTTCATTAAACTTTTTACGCGCACTACATCGGGTTATCATTAACCAGAGACCTCTGTATCTTAAGTTATCATTTTCGTTAAACATTAATCTCTAATTTGAAATGTAGTATAAACTTTCAACTAATAAAGCATTATTTTCCTGTATGGCTAAACTGGTTTCTCAGTTTTACATTACAATAACCTTGGCCATAATAATGCTACAATAAAAAGCTCTTTTTTTTAAAGATTTTGTTCTCAAAGGGATTTGTTTGCAGGATGACACCACATATGAAATAGTAGCAAAGATAAAAGTCAAAGAGATTCAAAATGCTGAAGTAACAAAGTCTCTGACTTGTGCTGCTACTGTCAAGGACTCTGATGATCATGTTGCTGTCACAAATAGTCATTGTCACGAGCCTAGGCAGGAGGACTCCAGCCAGGAAGTTGCCACCGAAGCTCAGGCGGAAGTGGCTGAATCTGTGGTTGAGAGGAGACCTGTCCAGTTAGACAATGAAGTACAATCAGATACAGCTGTAAGTACAATTTAGACATGGATTTATATTCCAAACTTCTTACTGCAGATGCTTTAAAGTTTTATGTCATGTTACAGTTCTGTTCAGTATTCCCTTCATTTTTTAAATTAAAATCAGTAGTATAGACATATACCTAGTTTTTTTTTGTGTTTGTGTTGTATTTCATCCATAAAAAAAATATCTATAACAATTAATAACAAATAATTTTGTTCTCTGTTTTTTGTCCTGCTTCAATACTATTACTATCGTAATTAAGTTTATTTAACCTTATGTCATAGAAGTAAATATCTAACTACTTCAATAACATTGAAATTTAGTTTTATAATATAAAAATAATAATAATTTAAGCACTAAGAAACATTGAAAAAAGTCGTCTGTTCTTCCCACACAATAGATTAAATATTTTTTTACAGAATCTGATAGCTGTTGCTCTGTACAGAAAGTAGATATTAAAAAAAAATTTTTTTTTTTATTTTCGTGATTCGAGCGCGCTTGCATTCATTCGCGCACCATTGCAGATGGCTGTGTAAATAATAGCGTGTCCTAGAAAAAAGATCCGCGATATGTAGTTAATGAAAAAAAAGAAGAAAAGTATAAAAAACTAATTGTTAAATAATTGTTTAAATGAAAAAACATCGTCGCCCGAGACTAAGATCCGCGAAGTTACCGGAGGCACTTTCACCCGAAATGCCGGTAACGCACTTACTACCTAAGTATCTACTTTGGTTTTGGGGGCGCCAATGAACGGCACCGGCCAACAGGGCATCAGGTGATCCTTCTGCTCACTAAGAATCTATCCCATAAACAATAACGTTGTCCATTTGTAAGTCCATTGTTTTCGCAATACGATGCAATGAAATACTATTATGGTCTTACGTTTATGTCACACACATTTTTTAGTTTAAATGAATTAAAACCGATTGTTTAACGTGCAAATTAATCAGTACCTCTTCATATTGGAGATATAGTTAGGTACCTACAAACACAGAGGCGGTTTCAACAGGGACGGTTTTAACTCATAGACGCCCCTAACTTTTGTTGGCGCCGCTGCCGCTCCGGCAGTTTGGCACGCGCGTTCTGTGGCACCCCTTTGTAATCTGGCGCCCTATAAATTTGCCTAATTTGCCTTTGGACAATACGGCTCTGTACAAACACAATCCGACGAGTGCAAAGCATGCAGCCAAAAGCGTAGTCACTAGTCATTGTGTAAAGAAAAAAGTAGCTAAATTAGGGTCATCGTTCGACACTTAAATGTTTAAAAGTACATAATTATAATTAGGTAGTAAATATATGCATTTAATTATAATAAAATGTAAAGTGTAGATAATGAGATAACCCTTTATCGTGTCAGTGTATGAATGAGGTCTGGGTGACCTAGAAACGTGTTTATATGTCAAGGATGCAAACAAATTTATTTCAGTTTAACAAACAATATAACAATAATAATGACAACTTGTCCTGAAATGCTAGAGTTTATTTAAAATAGCTTTTGCCAGCGGTTTCGCCTGCAGTACAAAGTAGGGTAAAAGTAGTCAACAATATGTTATTCCAGAGTATACCCATCTCTGCGACAAAAAATCTAGAGGAGTTTTTGTGTGATAGAATAACATCCTAACATACATCATACATCGATACCTCTTCGGAAACATTTGCATTATAATATTACTAGCTATTACCCGCGGCTTCGCTCGCGTCACAAAAGGATAAAAAGTAGCCTATGTGACATATACAAATACACACAGCGCCATCTATACCAATAATTTCGTTTTCCCTCGAGAATATCAAATTTTTCCGGGATAAAAAGTACCCTATTATTTAATCCAGATTTCTAACTTTACATCTGCAAAAATTCAAAGTAATCAGTTTAGTAGTTACGGCGTGAAAGCGGAACAAACAAACAAACTCACTTTCCGATTTATAATATTAGTAAGTAGTAGTATGACACGTATTACGTAAATAAATACGAGAACATTTTTGTATTTATTTAGTCCCCTTCTTAGTTATCTTATATCTTCTATGGCCCTATGCCATTGACAGTGCTATTAGTAATAGTTTAGCATTCTAAACTATTACTAAACTAGGATCATTATTCTTACCGCATTTTTTCCTACCATAAATCCCCAAGCGGTCACCGGTGACCGCTTTCCACTAATATTACATTACGTTATAGACCTTATTCCTAATGTTTAGAGACTACTTTTGTATGACCAGATTTAGGGGATGGATTTCAACGCTAGTGTGTTTATTTCATGAAGATGAGGTTTCCCGGCACCACTTAGTGAATGAAAATCAAGATATCTCTTCCTTGTTTGAGGAGATTCTAAGGAAACAGTTTAAATCATAGCTTCATATAGCAAGACAGAATGTTTCTCGACAAGACGTACTGAGACCCTAGTACGATTTTTTTACGTTCAAAGTAATCGAAACGAGACCCGGCTCCCGGCTTCAATGAACCAATCAGAGTTCTAAATGTGCGGTAACGTTTCGGACTTGTTCGGCGCTCTGATTGGCCGGACACGTATTGTTTATATTGTCGTATAAGGTTACAATACTTAGATAAAACGAATCAAAGTTGACGAGTTTCAGCTAAAACGTCATCTCTACGTATAAAATTCCCCTATACTTACTTATTGGTTATAAAAAGTCCCTAGAAGTGACGTCATGCGATATTTGAAATCAATGTACCTATGGTCGAAAGTATTTGTTTCTATATCGTCGAAAATCTAAAATATATGGCTAATTATTTGGTAATTAGACCTCAGGTAATCTCACTCACATGACGAAACACGACGTAAGCGTTACTTCACGTCAGTTTTCTGTGAGGCCGTGGTATCACTCCGGTCAAGCCGGCTCATTCATGCCAAAGCTCTCCCACACTTAAAAAAATATTTTAGCTCTTTAGTTATGGAAATAATATCACGATAAAATTAGTTAAGCCCTTTGTTTAAAAAAGTATTTATACTGTTAACAAACTTATTTATATACATATATTATAAAGGTGTCGTCTAAATTTGCCACCATTGTTTCTCGTGCATAAAAATGGCATAATGCCAGATAATGCGACCATCGCAGTTCGTTTACCTTGCTTAGATATATAGATTTTTATTGTGTTCTCAAAATCTGATTGACAAACAAAAAGTACTTTGTTAATTATTAATAATAATTTTTCACATTTATCAGACACGAGAAGATTGTAATTCAGCCAGTATGTAAGAAAAAATAGGCAATCGTTCGAAAAAAGAAGCGATAGACACAATCTTAATACTAGAGGCAAGAATAAGTTAGCTGTACTGCAATTCAGACTGTCCAAGGTACAGAAATCCTTCATGGGGTTTTGCGTTAAATGTTATAATAAAATACCAAGTAGCATACTAGATCTTAATGAAAGCAAATTTAAAACATATATTAAGCGCGAATTGTGTAAACAAGCTTACTACAGAGTGATTGATTATCTTGAGGATTTTTTTTTTTTTAAGGGGGGAAAATCATCGAATGACTGCTCCCGCCTGGGTGAGGCGGGAGGGAGTGTCAGACTCTTACTGACTAAAACCACCCCGTTCCTTCTCGTGCACGTCGAGCCGGAGCCCCGGTTACCCGTTAGGTTCTCCGCGACTCCGAATCGGCATCGGCCCTATTGGGCCCCATCTGTGGTGGTCTGATGGCTCTTTGAGGCGCGTGCGGAACGCGACGCGCCGTACGCTCGGGTCTGTTTCTGGTCGGACGGGGAGCCACCCATGCTCGCCGTCCGCAGGCCCGCGCTTACGGTGGCCGGAGATCGTCCCGCGATCCCCGACGCCCGGTGTGTCCTTCGCGATGGCTGGGTTGCGAGGAGGCAGCGCTTCGCTGCCTCACGCGTCCCGCCTCCTCCTTAGCTAGCATGACTGCTTCGCAAAAGGAGGAGACGGCATCCCAAACCCCCTCGCTCCGCATCATGGCCTGCACTAGGCCCGGACGAGAGAGGTCGCCATCGCCGATCACTTCCCTGAGGACACGGCGGTGCTCAGCCCACGCAGGGATTATCTTGAGGATAGGAATCCTTGGCAGCGTGTTGATTCGGCTCCACTGGACAATACTCAAATGTAGTCAGTACCTAGTTCAGATTACGATAATAGGTAATTTAATACTTTGATTCCGATGAAGGCAATCTGTTTTTCTTGTGGCATCGAGCATTTCTTTCTTTATTTAACAATTTATTTTTTTTTCTTGTATAGAAGCACTATTTTATATGGATTGTCAGTATACATATGTGAGAACCATGTCAGACTTAAGATATTTGTTTTCTCTTAGTTTTGTTTTTTTTTTTGTTTTAGTACGTTCTGTTATTTGTATGTTGCGTCAGGTATGTCTTTACAATATTCTCACATGTGTGTACAATATTGGAATATGTATCAGAGCAATGTAAAACAGACTTTTTTTAAAAGAGTAACGAATGGAGTTTCTTGCTCGTTCTTCTCCACTCGAATCGACATTTTGGAACGAGCGCCTAGCTTCACTGACGGACAGACTGACAGACTATTATACATATATTTCATATTTGTTGACGTTTCAAAAGTACCAAATTATGGTTTAATTGAAATAAATGCTTTTGAGTTTGAGTTTGAGTTTGAGTCATGTTGTCTCAATTTCTCCTTTTTATAGCTACATATATCCAAAGGTTATCTTTACTTAACTTATATCATAAAGTGGGAAATCCTCATGAATCCCCCAAGGTTATCTGTATTGCCTTATACGACAAGGACGCCCATTATATTTTGTTTTCGCAAGTTTGTATCCTATGTGGGTACCTACATCTGTAGCCGTAGACGTATTCGAAAACATTTTAATACCTAGACAGAGTTTATGTCATGATATCACTTAAATATGTATATTTTATTATTCAACTAGCTTCTGCCCTCGACTTCGTACGCACAATCCCGTTTTTCCGTTCCCGTAGATTTTTTGGCAAATCCTTGGATAAAAAGTATTTTATGTCAGTCCCCTGGTTCTAAGCTACCTCCCCATCAATTTTCAAATTGATTAAGCCGTTGTTGAGTTGTAAATAGTGTTACGAACACAACGTTCTTGTATAATATATCGAAAGAAAGAAAGAAATATAATATAATATAGGTATATTTATACAGATAAATCATGTTTGTTGGGGGGCGGAAATACGTACAAAAATAAGTAGGTACTAGGTAGGTCTTGTATATATAGGTATATAGATATTAATTATCCGATTATATAGATAAATCGTGTTGGTTGGGGGGCAGAAATACATACAAAATAAGTAGGTGCTTGGTAGGTTTAAGCCTGAAGCTTAATTTTGATAATAGAGTTAATAACTTTATCAAAGCAGGTATTGACTTAATGGTCTAGTAATTGTAGCAGGTATTGACTTAATTTTATAGTTGTTAGTATGCATCAAGAGTATTTAATTTAGTTTCGCTTAGGTATTCTTGTTTTACACAAGGAATTTACTCAGCAGATGTAAAAAAACATGACATGACCATGATATATACAAACTTCGTAACAAATGCATAATAAGTAATACTTTTATTATTTAACACATGTGATCCCAAACTCCTATTCTTATATGTTAGGTACTCTGAAATTTGTATGATTTGCTGTCCATTCTCAGTTAATTTTTGTTTTATTAAAAACGTTGCTCCTTTACGATTAATAGGATTTTCTCCTATACCTTGAATAATGGGTTGTGGATCGTTCAAGAAACATTTCGAGCGGGAAATTGTTCCGCAGCAGCCACTTTACTGTGTCAATCACCTTATAAACAGTGGCTAAACCCATAAATACATTGTTTCTGCAGCTGTGAATAATAGAAGAACCAATAGTTTTATAATTTTCTGTTATTGTTATAGATAACGTCAGGTGAACAGTTTATAGCAATACCTCGGGACCAACCGAGCGTACCATGCTTTGGGTGTGCCACGCACGTGAACCCACAGGCTGCTGGAGTTAGCGACCTTGCTAGCCTCGGTCTGAGGCACCTCGATATCCATCAACCAACAATGAAACACACTCTGGAACGAGTACTTGATGTAGAGAGACAAGTCCAAGTGAGTAATATTGTTACATAAATATATAATTTTTTGCTGCTGCTTTTATTGTCTGTATGTGTTTTGTAGACAAAACTAAATACACAATACAATATTATCAAGGTACAACTGCTTCACTGTACTATATATCAGAACTTACTCTTGATACTAATCTCAATGTTAATTTAATTCAAGTCCAAGAAAATCTCAATAATTATTCAATGTAACTTACAACCCTAATCTTAGCTATTAGAATTGCATACAGAGTATGAAATATAAAGCCAAATTCAATACCATTTACTTCATTCAATATCTACGCAATATGGATACTATGGGCGCTAGTGGGTATTACGACTCCAGAGTACGAAATTGACAATATTAATGTCGAACGATCGGAATTGGATTCAAGAGTAAGACCGTAAAATGAACGCCACAGCAAGAAATGTATGTTTAAAATGTTTGTTTCAGGTGGTAAATGGAGTACGATATATTTTAACAATGTCAGTTCATTTTGACAATTGTTCGGATATCCAACCTGAAAACTGTGTGTTCTCCAACATTTGTAAGATAACGTTTCTAGTTAAACCATGGGTAAAACTGCCCAATGGTGGAAATTATAGAGCAATATTAGGAAACAACTGTACAGAAGAATGGCAGTATGGTGACAATGGCGAAGTTCTGCCAGACACAATGGATAACCAAGCACAGGACAAAGATAGAGGAAGTAAGGGAGATGATGGAGATGACATACAGGTAAAATATAATTCTGATGTCCAATCACAACCAAACATGGAACGAACACTAACGGATGAAGAGATGAAAAATCTAGAAGAGCAAATAATTCCGAATAATCAATTTCAAGAAAATTATCAACGCTCTTTTACTGTATCTCCTGACACCCCCGGGGAAAATAAGGAACATGTTTTCAAAGTCGAATCCAATAAACATAATGTGAATACAATTCCTGTTACCGAACAAACTCTAAACATTAATCTAGATAAAAAGAAAGCTATTGACGACCTATTGAACTATTTTGACTTTTCTGGATTTAAACTGAAGACTGAAAGTACAGTTCCCGCGTCAAGGGCAAGGAGAAGTTATGATTATGATTTGCAACTACTAACACTTGCAGAAGACTATCATGGTATTAAAAATAGTATAAAAAATGCACGCTTTGTATACGGGCTAGCTCAAACTATGGTAAACTATTTGAATGAAATTGACATGGAAGTAAAAAATAGAGAAATAAAAAGCGTAATCAAAGCGGAAGAAGAAACTGACAGTCTACAGCGCTATATATATGTTCAGGCTAGTGTTACAATACCATGTGATAAAGTTGAATGTGAACCAAGAGACACGGGTACTCAAATATGTAATGGTGTTTTAGATGCCACAAACGACGATAGTCCCCAAATTATAAGCTCATTCTGTTACAATGACAACAAAGAAAGAGATTACAGGGATATTGTCAAAGTAATACCTCTCGATGATCCCGTCTTACAAAATTTAGCCTTAGAAGCAGTAAAAAAAATTGAATCCGAATCAAACTCTGAAAACGCTCTGAAAGTAAATAAAATTATTTCAGCTTTAACCCAAGTTACATCTGGAACACTTACGAAATTTTCAATTATTGTTGATAACTTGAAATGTAATAAGAGCGTTCCACAAGCATTACGAATAAATTGTACGGTTCTAGAACAATTAGGATCACAGATTTGTGAAATAATCGTACACGAGAGGCATTGGCTGAAAGAGACGAAAATATCATACTCTTGCACTGACAGACCAGTTGACATGAAAATATCGAAACTAAAATCAATTACCCCAAGTATAAATGTAGAGGACCCAAAAATTATCGAAATGTTGCAAGAAGCCATACAATTTTTAGAAACACAATCAGAAAAGAATAACAAACAAAAAATTGTAAACGTAACATCCATCTCTTCTCAAATTATTGCTGGCTTTTTAACTAAAATAGAATTTTTGGTTGGATACACAAATTGCACAAGCGGAAATGAGTTAATAGACGAATCAAATAAATGTCACTTATTGAAAGGACAAAATCTTCGTCTGTGTAAAGCACAGTTTTGGGATAGATCATGGATAATAGATGGTAGACAAGTAGAAGTTTCATGTGATGACGTTAAAAGAAAAAAAAGGTCTGTAGATTTTGTTGAAGGTCAAAGAAATGAAAATAGAAGCCCTGAAAATAAATACAAAAAGTTAGCTAACGAATCTTTACAGAAGTTTATGCAATCATCACTCAATCACCAACATTACGAAGTCGTAAAAGTTGACAAAGTTGATGATCAAAATTTACCCGATAAATTAATAAGAATTCAATTTTCAATATCACCCACCAATTGCAAACTGAAATACGGCATTTTGTCACCTACTGAATGCCACGTCATAAATCCTGAAAATATAATCCACTGTCATTCGAAAATATTGGAAAACGTTTGGGTTGACAAAAAACAATTGTTTGTAAATTGTAACTTAAAAGACTACCGACAACATAAAACTTCTTCAGGCTTGCATGAACGCGATTCTAACGACTCAAAATACTATAGTAAAAACAGTGATTCCTTGAAACAAAATCTTAAAGATACGAATGCTATGCATATTGCTGTAGAAGCGCTTCAAGCATATTTGAAGAAAAATCCTGAATCACTTCTTTTGCGAGTAACTTTAGTTGACAAAGTAGTAATAAAAGGCCTAACAACTAAAATTGTATTCCTAGCGTCACATACTGAAGATGATGATGGTGATACAATTTGCTACGCAGAGTTCTTCGCAACCAATACGTCCAAAGGTGTTACAGAAGTAAAATGTTATTCAATTGGCTTACCAATAAAACGAACTGAAGTTACCGATGAAGATCCTAATTATTATAAGTATATTCAAATGGCGGATGAATCGCTTTATATTTATCTACAAAAGATAAATAGCTCGCAACTATACACTGTTGCTTCTATAGAAAGCGTAATGGTACAGTGGGATGAAGGCATAAAGACTCAAATTAATTTTATTATATCTCCAACCGATTTAGAGAACCACGAAAATCAAGGACAGCTATGTCGTGCTGAAATACGAGAACAACCATGGATTCATAAAAAAAACATTAATGTAAAATGTGAATTAGAAAGAAATTTATACCGATCTAAAAGACAGGTACATGATGAAAACAACGTAGACGGTGGTTTAATAGATCACGACCCAAATGACCCAAATTATCGAGTTTTGGCTGAGGAATCGTTGCTAAAGTTCGTTGCTGATTCTGGGACAACCCAACCTCTAAAAGTCGTAAAAGTGGAAAAAGTAACCACACAAGTAGTATCTGGTTTGTTGACCCGTATCGATTTTGTGATATCGGGTGGGCAAGATATCAACAAATGTCATTCTAAAATATGGGAGCAGCCTTGGTTGGACAGAAAAGACATCGATGTTTCTTGTCATAACGGTGACCAAAGAAGCAAAAGAGAGGCAATTACGGGTGGTTTGGCAGATCAAGACCCAAACGACGCAAAATATCGAGTTTTAGCTGAGGAATCATTACTAAAATTCGTTGCTGATTCCGGGACAACCCAACCTCTAAAAGTCGTAAAAGTTGAAAAAGTTACCACACAAGTAGTATCTGGTTTGTTGACCCGCATCGATTTTGTGATATCAGGTGGGCAAGATATCAACAAATGTCACTCTAAAATATGGGAGCAGCCTTGGATGAACAGAAAAGACATCGATGTTTCTTGTCATAACGGTGACCAAAGAAGTAAAAGAGAGGCGATTGCGGGTGGTTTGGCAGATCAAGACCCAAACGACGCAAAGTATCGACTTTTGGCTGAAGAATCGTTGCTAAAGTTCGTTGCTGATTCCGGGACAACCCAACCTCTAAAAGTCGTAAAAGTGGAAAAAGTAACCACACAAGTAGTATCTGGTTTGTTGACCCGTATCGATTTTGTGATATCGGGTGGGCAAGATATCAACAAATGTCACTCTAAAATATGGGAGCAGTCTTGGATGAACAGAAAAGACATCGATGTTTCTTGTCATAACGGTGACCAAAGAAGTAAAAGACAGGCGATTGCTGGTGGTTTAGCAGATCAAGACCCAAACGACGCAAAGTATCGACTTTTGGCTGAAGAATCGTTGCTAAAGTTCGTTGCTGATTCCGGGACAACCCAACCTCTAAAAGTCGTAAAAGTGGAAAAAGTAACCACACAAGTAGTATCTGGTTTGTTGACCCGTATCGATTTTGTGATATCGGGTGGGCAAGATATCAACAAATGTCACTCTAAAATATGGGAGCAGTCTTGGATGAACAGAAAAGACATCGATGTTTCTTGTCATAACGGTGACCAAAGAAGTAAAAGACAGGCGATTGCTGGTGGTTTAGCAGATCAAGACCCAAACGACGCAAAGTATCGACTTTTGGCTGAAGAATCGTTGCTAAAGTTCGTTGCTGATTCCGGGACAACCCAACCTCTAAAAGTCGTAAAAGTGGAAAAAGTAACCACACAAGTAGTATCTGGTTTGTTGACCCGTATCGATTTTGTGATATCGGGTGGGCAAGATATCAACAAATGTCACTCTAAAATATGGGAGCAGTCTTGGATGAACAGAAAAGACATCGATGTTTCTTGTCATAACGGTGACCAAAGAAGTAAAAGACAGGCGATTGCTGGTGGTTTAGCAGATCAAGACCCAAACGACGCAAAGTATCGACTTTTGGCTGAAGAATCGTTGCTAAAGTTCGTTGCTGATTCCGGGACAACCCAACCTCTAAAAGTCGTAAAAGTGGAAAAAGTAACCACACAAGTAGTATCTGGTTTGTTGACCCGTATCGATTTTGTGATATCGGGTGGGCAAGATATCAACAAATGTCACTCTAAAATATGGGAGCAGTCTTGGATGAACAGAAAAGACATCGATGTTTCTTGTCATAACGGTGACCAAAGAAGTAAAAGACAGGCGATTGCTGGTGGTTTAGCAGATCAAGACCCAAACGACGCAAAGTATCGACTTTTGGCTGAAGAATCGTTGCTAAAGTTCGTTGCTGATTCCGGGACAACCCAACCTCTAAAAGTCGTAAAAGTGGAAAAAGTAACCACACAAGTAGTATCTGGTTTGTTGACCCGTATCGATTTTGTGATATCGGGTGGGCAAGATATCAACAAATGTCACTCTAAAATATGGGAGCAGTCTTGGATGAACAGAAAAGACATCGATGTTTCTTGTCATAACGGTGACCAAAGAAGTAAAAGACAGGCGATTGCTGGTGGTTTAGCAGATCAAGACCCAAACGACGCAAAGTATCGACTTTTGGCTGAAGAATCGTTGCTAAAGTTCGTTGCTGATTCCGGGACAACCCAACCTCTAAAAGTCGTAAAAGTGGAAAAAGTAACCACACAAGTAGTATCTGGTTTGTTGACCCGTATCGATTTTGTGATATCGGGTGGGCAAGATATCAACAAATGTCACTCTAAAATATGGGAGCAGTCTTGGATGAACAGAAAAGACATCGATGTTTCTTGTCATAACGGTGACCAAAGAAGTAAAAGACAGGCGATTGCTGGTGGTTTAGCAGATCAAGACCCAAACGACGCAAAGTATCGACTTTTGGCTGAAGAATCGTTGCTAAAGTTCGTTGCTGATTCCGGGACAACCCAACCTCTAAAAGTCGTAAAAGTGGAAAAAGTAACCACACAAGTAGTATCTGGTTTGTTGACCCGTATCGATTTTGTGATATCGGGTGGGCAAGATATCAACAAATGTCACTCTAAAATATGGGAGCAGTCTTGGATGAACAGAAAAGACATCGATGTTTCTTGTCATAACGGTGACCAAAGAAGTAAAAGACAGGCGATTGCTGGTGGTTTAGCAGATCAAGACCCAAACGACGCAAAGTATCGACTTTTGGCTGAAGAATCGTTGCTAAAGTTCGTTGCTGATTCCGGGACAACCCAACCTCTAAAAGTCGTAAAAGTGGAAAAAGTAACCACACAAGTAGTATCTGGTTTGTTGACCCGTATCGATTTTGTGATATCGGGTGGGCAAGATATCAACAAATGTCACTCTAAAATATGGGAGCAGTCTTGGATGAACAGAAAAGACATCGATGTTTCTTGTCATAACGGTGACCAAAGAAGTAAAAGACAGGCGATTGCTGGTGGTTTAGCAGATCAAGACCCAAACGACGCAAAGTATCGACTTTTGGCTGAAGAATCGTTGCTAAAGTTCGTTGCTGATTCCGGGACAACCCAACCTCTAAAAGTCGTAAAAGTGGAAAAAGTAACCACACAAGTAGTATCTGGTTTGTTGACCCGTATCGATTTTGTGATATCGGGTGGGCAAGATATCAACAAATGTCACTCTAAAATATGGGAGCAGTCTTGGATGAACAGAAAAGACATCGATGTTTCTTGTCATAACGGTGACCAAAGAAGTAAAAGACAGGCGATTGCTGGTGGTTTAGCAGATCAAGACCCAAACGACGCAAAGTATCGACTTTTGGCTGAAGAATCGTTGCTAAAGTTCGTTGCTGATTCCGGGACAACCCAACCTCTAAAAGTCGTAAAAGTCGAAAAAGTAACCACACAAGTAGTTTCTGGCTTGTTGACCCGGATCGACTTTACCATATCTGATGGAAATGCAAATACTATGAAATGCCATTCTAAAATTTTTGAACAAGTTTGGGTTGAAAGAAAGGAAGTAAACGTCGAATGTGTTCCTGTTAATATCAGAGCACGTAGAGATTTAGGAATGCCTCGAGGCTTGGTGGAACAGAATTTTGAAAAAAAATCGGTTCCGACAAGCAGCTCTGAAAAGGATCTTCATAACGTTCGAGGTGATGATGAAGAAGAGCAAAATCCAAATAAACCTGAGTATAAGTTACTGGTTGAAGAATCCTTGAGAAAATTTCAACAAAAAAGCGGTGTTTATCATAAAGTTCTAGAAGTGAAACGAGTTCTCACACGTGTGGTTTCAGGCTTAAAATATAACATAGATTTTACTGCTGCGCCTACAGCTTGCTCTGTGAATGAATCCCGTGTGAATGCTCGCAGATGTAAGACAGATGATGGAGTAATTCTTTACTGTCATACAGAAATTTGGGATCGACCTTGGTTAAGAAAAAAAAAGATTGATGTTCAATGTAATGATCCGTCAGATGACCGAGATGATTTCGAAGAAAACGATTCTGATGTTGATGTGGTAAAACCAGAAAATGAAAGTAATAATTCTGAAAACCACATGAAACTAGCCAATGAAGCTACTGAAAAATATTTGACTGCATCAAATAGAAAATACGTTCATAAAGTTACAGCAATCCAAAGTGTAAGTGAACAACAGTTAGATGGGACATTTACTATTGACTTTACTATATCACCCACTACTTGTTTAAGAAACGTTACTAATAAAGATTCTTGTAAAGTGAAACAACCAGTTGTTGTTTTCCATTGTAATGCAAAAATAAGAAATAGACCTTGGGGTAATAATGAAAGCGAAATTGAAGTCACCTGTAAAAAGGCTAGCGAGAGAGTAAACAATAGCAAAAAAGACAAACGTGACGTTGGTGTTAGAAGTGCTAGACAAACTGTTGATGATGCCGAAGAAATGGATGAAGATATCATTTATTATTACGCTGATCGTGCTCTTCAACATGTTAATGACCATTCCCGTTCGAATAATTTACATAAATTAATATCCATACACGCTGTGCAAAGTAGCCTTCAAATGGGAGCTCGAACTGTAAAAATGTACATTGAAATAGCCGAAACGTATTGTTTGCGGCATCAAAGAACAAAGGATCTGGCAAACTGTGAAGAACTTAATGGTTTAAGTCATAGGCTATGTTTGGCTAGATTATGGCCTGCACCAGACGAAGAGTTGATAACAAGACACGTATCAGTTGTTTGTGACGATGAAGAAGATTTTGTGGCCATTAGTGGAGTCAATGTACCTGAACTTTTAAGATTGTCAATGATGGAACTTGAAAAGGCTGCTGGTGTGAAGTATAAACTAGTCCATCAAGGCGAGCCACAGGTTATACCGTCCCTCGATTCAAGACAACCATTTAAAATCAATTTTGTTGTTGCTTATACGAACTGTTCTGTAGAAGTCGATTTAGATAAAAATCCTTTCCAATGTTATATTAATCATGAAATACCTTCTAAGTCTTGCCACTCATTTATTTGGCTGAAGACAGATATAAAAACTATCAGTTACATAAATGTTAAATGTACGCCTCTGAATCGTTTGAGAAGATCTACAAATCAAACGAACCTTTCTTCAGAAAATGAGGAAATTAAGAGTATGGTGGCCGCAGCTTTGGAGAAGTTAGAAATGTCATCATTACACAGATACAAACAGAGGGTGTTGCAGATCAACAGTTACTCTACTAAAATAACGTCTGGTAAAGTAACCACCATCGACTTTGACGTCGGTTACACGTCTTGTTTGAAATACGAGTGGGTTGAGAACATCACTAGTTGTGATTTCTTGGAGCACTTGCCCCGAAGACGTTGCGTGGCGCAAATATGGGAGAGATTATGGATCAAGAATGGACAAAATATTGATGTAAATTGTGTTGATGATGAAACACCTTTGGAGTCTCATATAGAATTTGAAAGCGCTGAAATGGCTAATGCGTTAGCGAGAGAAGCATTAAAACATATTGAAGCGAAATATCCTCACCCTAGCAAACAGAAGGTCGTTAGGATATTTTCATTGGAAAAACAAGTAGTTGCTGGTATCCACTACAAAATGAAAATAGAGGTTGGCTTCACAGATTGCGTTGCTTTAAGCGACCAAACTGACTGCAAGCTAATTAAAGATCACGGTCTGAACAAGTTCTGCCGTGTAAATGTTTGGGTGCGACCATGGACTGACCATCCTCCCAATTTCCGAGTGTCATGCGATTTTCAAGAAGGTGCTACGCATGATTTATACCACCACGTGCAAGCGGAACAATTGTTTTACAGCTTTTTGACAACTTATAGTCCCAGCTACGTCAATGACTATTCTCAAATGCAGAAACGTTTTGAGATATTTAAAAATAATATAAAGAAAATTCACGAGTTCAATGTTCATGAGAAAGGTACTGCTATATACGGGGTGACCCGATTTGCTGATTTGACATATGAAGAATTTAGTAGTATATACATGGGCTTGAATACGAATTTAACTAACGAGAACCAGGTCCCTATGAAAAAAGCTGATATTCCAGACATTAAAATTCCCGAGGACTTTGACTGGAGAGAGCATGATGCTGTGACGGAGGTAAAGGACCAGGGCTCATGTGGTAGCTGCTGGGCGTTCAGTGTTACTGGTGAGATAATTAACTGTATATAAATATAACATCACACTTTTTATTCCCTAAGGGGTGGGCATAGGTGCACACTTCGGCACTTAATGCCACTGTACCTCTAGAATGTAACAGCCACTTTTCACTATTTATGTTATGAGTCCCATGTAATTCGGGGTGAGCCTATTGCCATATAGGGGGAAGTCGCGTCACGCCGGACGGCACCTAGCGCCGTACGCCTGTATTATAACTGATAACACGAACGATTCAATTTTTACTAAAAATCTTAGGTGTCTGCCACTGGGAGACTTCCCCCTAAAAGTTGAATCGCTCGCGTTATTAATTATAGAGATAATATAAGCGTACGGCGTTAGGTGCCATCGGCGTTAAGGGACTTCCCCCTACCGGGCACAATTCCAGACTCCGTGCTACTACTGAGATTTTTTTTAAACCTTATAGTACTCTGGCCGTTCCAGGAATCGAACCCGAGACGCCTTGCTTGGCAATCGCACTTGCGACCACTCTGAAAACGAGGCAGTAATTAATTGTACTGTGAATATTTTGGACCCGGCATTGTAATTTGTATGTAAAATAAACGTATTACCTACAGCAACAGTTGTTATGTAAATACCATGTATGCTGTGTACTGGGCTTAATTCTAGATATATACATTATCTATATTCGCTCTGCCATAGACTCGGACCAGGGACTTCTTCAGCGCAAGTACAGGCGCTTACAGCCACTACTAATAAGGTGGACTAAATAGATAAAATATCTTTTTAGGTAACATTGAAGGTCAATGGAAGATGCAGTCGGGTCAACTGATATCCCTGTCTGAGCAGGAGTTGGTGGACTGTGACAAACTGGACGATGGCTGCAATGGTGGATTACCTGATAATGCCTACAGGTATGTGCAGATACCACTCCGATTTGTCTTTGTTTAATATTTCCAGCTTAATTACAAAACAACAAAATAATGATCTGATAGAAAGAAAAACAGTTTTTTTTTGCACCATTATAGAAAAAAAAAATAAAAAACATGCTCGTAGTTAGCTAAAATACTATGACCGCAACAGGAATTTATTACGGGTATTTCATCAAATACCGGCTTATTCACTAACTGTTTGACGAGGAACTCGACTAGTTTCAAGCCACAGTAGAGGCTCATATTCATGAGCAGTCCCGCGACACACGAAGCAGCGACTGTCGCGCTGCTTCGTCGTCAAACAGTTACGTCAGTACACCGAAAAACATTAATTTAGTATTCCTCACGTATGTACAATATAAAAGTATAATCGGGTATAACCTGGGTGTCTTCAAGGCCCGAGTGAATAGGTTGCTTATGGGACGACGTGCTCCATCGTAGACTGCATCATCGCTTACCATCAGGCGAGATAGGGTCAAACGCCCATCAAATATATAAAAAAAAGATATTTAATAGTTGAACTGTCACTGTACCAGGAAGATATGACGATAAAAAATTAACGATAGCTACTTAAGGTCAAATGTACCTTAAGTATTTATTAGAACTAGCAAGATTTTACAGTTTTGTACATTTTTAAAATAGACTAAGTTTATTCACCGGCCTTGCATAACTTGTTTCTATTTCTGGCTTTTTGATTGCATTCTTTGTTTGTGTGGTGTTTGAAAGGTTTTTCTCGGGTAGACCCAAATTTTATACTAGTACTGGGATAAGATGTGGCTACTCTTTGAAAAGTAGGCTTTATTATGACTGAATAACTAAAAACTTGAAATAGGTTTAGTACTTTTAGTTCAGTATAAATAAATAATTTTCTTTATAATATTAGTATAGACATAGGTACGCATTGTTCAAGGTCTTACTTAATGCAAACATAACAAGATATTTCAAGTTTTCCTTTATACAGCGTGTATCATAAATCAATGTAACACCAAGTTTTCACTATTTATGTTATGATTCTCAAGTAATAGGGGGTGAGCCTATTGCCATTTACCGAGCACAATCCCAGACTGTGCTACTACTGAGATTTTTTGAAAAAACCCAGTAATACTTTGCCCGACCCGGGAAACGAACCCGAGACCCCTTGCCCGGCAGTCGCACTTGCGACCACTCGGCCAACGAGGCAACGAGGCAGTATTACTAATTACTATTACCATTATACCTCGTGTGTTCATAAGTTTTGAGACAAATTAAAAGTTGCATATCTTTTTAAATAATAAACTTATATTTATAAAAACAATAACAAACATTAAGTAGATATTAAGTAAAAATTAAATATAATTATTATTCAAAATGACCACCCCTGTTTTTAATACATGCCCTTAGACGATTTGGCCAGTCATCAATGACGGTACGAATCTTTTCCAGAGGAATTCGCTTCGCTTCTCGGACAAGAGCTCGCTTAAGTGACTCCAAGTTTGGGTGGGACTTTCGGCAGGCTCTGAGCTCTAATTCGGTCCATAGAGAATAATCCAGCGGGTTGAGGTCGGGGCTGGAGGAGGGCCATTCGTTCGCCGCAATGAAGGCCGGCACATTTTCCTTCAGCCAAGCTTGGGTGGTTTTAGCCTTATGGGATGGCGCCGAGTCTTGCTGGAAAACCCAATACTTGTTATGGAATAGGGTATTAGACAGGGGTTTCACAACAGTCTCTAGAATGTCACTTTGATAATTTTTGGCTTTCACCTTGACGCCTTGTTGGCAGAAATGAAGCTGAGTGACACCTTCGTACGAAACTCCCCACCATACCATGACACTAGCCGGATGATGAGTACGCGAGACATTCCGTGCTGAAGGTGGGACATCCTTGCTACTTTTGGCATACACTTTATTGTTTTGTCGATTGAACTTTTCTTCGACGGTAAAGATTTTCTCGTCGGTGAAGAGTATCTTCCTCGCATCGTGTCTCCTAAGCAGTATTGGACAACGTTCGCGTCGCAATTGACGAAGGCGATCGTTTAAAAAGTGTACTTTTCTACGGCTATACGCCTTAACCTTGAGATCATATTTCAGTATTCTGTTGACTGAAACGCGCGAAATATTGGTCTGCAGAGCGAGTTTCTTCTGAGTGCGACATGGATTTCGGCGAAGTCGCTCTCGGATGATTTTAATGTTCGCAGGCGTCCTCACAGAGCGTGGACGACCACTTCTTTGCCGATCATGTAAAGAACTTGTCTCCTGGTATCGTTTAATAGTGTAATACACGAAGTTACGGCTCACACCAAAACTTTTCAGTTCTCGGAAAATGTCCATAGGTTTTCTTCCCACCTTAAATAATGAAATGACGGTCGCACGTAATTCTTTTGTTCCCTCCATTACGAGAAAATTTAAATAAAATAATCCGAAATCATAGACATTAAAAGTTAACATTCCAAATTCAAAATTAGAAAAAGAAATATACAGCAGCCAGTAATTTTTATTTTATTTTTATAAGCAAAAAGTTTGTCTCAAAACTTATGAACACACGAGGTAATATAAAGCTGAAGAATATGTTTGTGAAAACATAACTTTGTATTTTAAACGTTTGACTAGGTCAAGTTAAAGTCTATTACGAGGTATGTTTCAATGACATAATAATAATATTTTATATTTATTGCACAGCCTGTATAGTTCCTCATTTATCGTAGCATGGATTCCGATATTATCTCTAGTTATTTACCGCGTTACGAAACATACATAATACTTTTTATATTCACGTTGCATTGTATTCATATATTTATAGTTTAGTAGTTATAAAGATCTAGACTTTTAAACCCAGTGACACAGTTATGTTAGTTACACTATAACACAACATCACGTCCTTTATCTCCGAAGGTGTAGGCAGAGGTGCACATTACGGCACTTAATGCCACTGTACAATGTAACTCCCACTTTTCACTATTTATGTTATGAGTCCCATGTAATAGGGGATGAGCCTATGGCCATATACCGGGCACAGTTCCAGACTCCGTGCTACTACTGAGAATATTTAAAAACCCAGTAATACTTTGCCCGACCCGGGAATCGAACCCGAGACCCCTTGCCCGGCAGTCGCACTTACGACCATTCGGCCAAATAGGCAGTTATTTTCAGTAATTTCAGGCAGTTTTTTTCAGTTACAATAAAGCCTGTTTTTCAAGGAGTAGCCACATCTTGTCCCAGTACTAGTATAAAATTTGGGTCTACCCGAGAAAAACCTTTTAAAGACTAAACATAATTACTAGTTGGAAGAAACCAGCGGCTTTGTCCGCGCACTGGTGGAATAAATTGGAGCCTATATGTTATTCCAAACCATAACCTACCCCTGTTCCAAATATCATCCTGATCCTTTCAGCCGTTTTGAAGTGATCGAGTTACAAACACACAGACAAACAAACATACAAAATTTTGCAATTATACCCAATATTATTAGAAAGATGGCAATATATGGGACTTAAAACAAGACTACACTGTTGAAAATTTAGTGTTACATTGTCTATAATGTGCACCTCTGTCTACCCCGTTGACTGTCTCGTAAGCCGAGTGGTTGTAAGTGCGACTGCTGGGCAAGGGGTCTCGGATTCGATTCCCGAGTCAGGCAAAGTATTACTGGGGTTTTCTCAGTAGTAGCACGGAGTCTGGAACTGCGCCCGGTATATGGCAATAGGCTCACAACCTATTACATGGGACTTATAACATAAAGAGTGAAAAGTGGGTGTTACAATGTACAGTGGCATTAATTGCCGTAATGTGCACCTCTGCCTACCCTATTGTGTGCTTCTAACTTTATTTTGTTAGACACCATAGACTTGCAGTGAAGAAACACATTAATGTGTCTAAGTTACGATACAAAATAATTGAACAATTCTGGTATATGGTTATACCAGAGACGAGATGGTTCTCATGACCTCAATGATTTTTATGATGATGTATTTGACACGGTTTGATTTATGACATGTTTCAATGTTATACCAGTACATAGTTCAGGTGACTAAACTATGTTTTAAAATTATCCTTGTAATGTTATCCAGGGCTATCGAACAGATGGGAGGTCTAGAGTTGGAGAGTGACTACCCATATGAAGGTGTCGGTGAGAAGTGTGAGTTCAACAAGACTCTCGCCAAGGTGCAGATCAGTGGAGCTGTGAACATCACCACAAATGAGACTGGAATGGCTCAGTGGCTGGTGCACAATGGACCTATTTCTATTGGTAAGAATTGTCAAGTTATTGCCTAGCTTCACTGATATACAGAAGGACGGGCAATTCAATTTTGACGTTTCAAAAGTCTCTAATTAAGGATTAATTGAAATAAATGCTTTGACTTTGACTTTGATGTACATTTTATAGCGAAGCTGTTAGAAATAATGTCCTATGTGATCGCCTCGTTCGTTAATGTAGCTTAAAACGTTTTGATTTTTTTTTATTTAGCTTATTAATTAAATTATGTTTAGTTCTTAAAATATATAAAATGATTCTTAGACATTTCCCAACGTGTGCTGAACTAAAAATTGTTTTGGGAATTTTTTTATCAAAATATGTATATCCATAATGTGCATTTGTGCAGGTATCAACGCGAACGCTATGCAGTTCTATATGGGAGGTATCTCACACCCGTGGAAGATGTTATGCAATCCCACCAACTTGGATCACGGTGTGCTTATTGTAGGATACGGAATTAAAGGTGAGGCTTTTGTTAAAACCTGATCTAACTCATTTCTTTCGTAATTTTATACTATGTATATAGAAATATATATAAGCAGGAAGTTCCAGCATAAAACCTAAAAAATGTTTTAAATTATTTGAAAGATAATAAAGAATATTACACTCATACCCATATGACAAACATACAAGATACGCGCGTAAAACAATACCCTTTATTCAGTTGGGAAAAAATAGTATGTCACATTACATTGGATGCTGGTAAAACATACATAGGTGGAAATTCAATTAGCATAAATAAAATATAAAAAAGACAAGGTGTGACAGTGGAAGTAATAAAAATATAAGAGTTGAAAAATTTAAACAGAAGAATTAGAAAAGAGACGCTGACAACATGCCTATGCTAAACGGGTCACCCAATCAGTATAAGCCAGGCATACAACTCACCCAGCACTGATTTTCAGTGGGCACCCATGCATATAATCTACTATCGCTTGTACAAGTGTTTCCCGAAAGTCCCTAAGAATTTCTAACACATATAATTCATACATTTTTTTCGAACTATACCGAACACACCAAAAAAGGAATCCTACAATTCAATACAGTCATTTCGGAGTTATGCGCGTACAATGCGTACATACATTGTTTATTAACAAAGATTTTTTTTCCGCAGACTATCCACTCTTCCACAAGAAACTACCATATTGGATTATAAAGAACTCGTGGGGCAAGTCATGGGGAGAACAGGGTTATTACCGTGTGTACCGAGGTGATGGTACCTGCGGAGTCAACCAGATGGCAAGCAGCGCTATCATATAAACCAAAACACCACCAAAATTGGACAATTTTGAAGGCATTTTATTTGGTTGTAAGTGAGTATATATATAAATATCAAGTATTACTTTATACTTACTAGAGAAATATTGCAAATGTCGTTTTTATATAAGTTTGGTTTTTTTCTATATAAGTTATAAATCTATTAAGGCCTGTTGTCTTTACGTTTTATAATTATGATTATCAATTAATTCGTCCGTTTTTATTGTCTTTTTTTACATATTTTTACCAGCCTTAATGAACATTATACTGTGCTTATGATATACAATTATGAGTCCATATATATTAAATTATATATGTTTCTGCAAACTGGGTACACTACGAAATTCAAAGTAATTTTATAGGCTCTTTATAGTTGTGAATATTTCCTTTAAACAAATGATCTCAAATAAATACTTCAAAATTTGAAAGGGCCTTTATTTATTGAAAAATATTTATAACCATGCAATAATTATTGTACGTACAATTTGAGGTGCGAAAATATATCGGCGTGTAATATTATGCCAAGAATATGTTTCTTTACCTTATCTAAAACATGTATAAGTTAATTGGTTGTAAAAAAATCGCAATGCGTACACATTGGAGCTATTTGTTAATAATTTTCCACAGTGCAGAATTATTATTAACTTGTACTTATGTAATTACTGTTCGTCTATTATTCATTACAATAAAAAAAAAAAATAACTAAAAATCGCGGGTTACTCACGTGAATATACTAAGAAAAGCTCTACTAGTTTCGCACCATAGAGGAGTTCTTCCTGTCGCGGAGAACCTAACGGGTAACCGGGGCTCCGGCTCGATGTGCAGGAGAAGGAACGGGGTGGATTTGTGAACAGTAAGAGTCTGACACTCCCTCCCGCCTCACCCAGGCGGGAGCAGACATTCGATGATTTTGTCCCCTTAAAAAAAAGAGTAGTTCTTCCTCATGAACAACTTGCGCGGTCGTGGTGATGGCGCACAGCCTAATCATTGCCGTGAGAATAGCATATTCACGTGAGTAACCCGCGATTTTTAGTTAATTTAGTATATCTCACAATAGTTATTATAAATAAATTACAATAAGGAACACGACAAAACATATTACCAAATTTAGTTTAGACGTTCAGTAGTCATGCGCATACATTTCGGCGATTCATTTTTGTTTATATAAATATAATAATTTACCTCTACAGATATGCACTGAATTATTGAAAGATGATATTTATTATTTTATTATAATATCCATTAATAAATAAACATTTTACTTTGTTTATTTATGTTATATATGATAATATAATACTGGTAGGAAAACAAATTGTAATATTTGTTTGCAAATATGTCTCCAAGTGTGTGACACATAAATATATTATGATATAATAATGACTTATGAAGTTATGACACATTCATGATTTCGCTATCAATTTTGGTATTTTATTAGTCTTGTATGAAACACGGTAAAGTAATACAAGCAATTTTGAATCAGATTCGGTTGAATGATAATGTTCTATGTACAACAGCCAGCTGTCAATTTACTTGCCAACCTTATTATATTGCAATAGAGTTGGAAATCGAATGATTTTGACAAGTTTTGGTAGTACCATCTGTTGTGTATATATATGGACTTGCACTAATGTATTAAACAAACAACTTTATTAATATACGCAAGCTGGTTTGGGGATTACCAATTATATTGGGATTTCTAGGTACTCTAAACTGTAGTTACATTTTTCCACTTATTGTTGACAGTACATAGTCAAACATGGTCAAACACAAGATAATGCTGTCGTTGCTATGACAACACGCTTCATTCAACATCGATATTTGACAGTTCAAGCGGCCATTTTTGTTTGAAATTTTAAGCGTCAAACCGTCGTACTCAGAGTCTGATAAAGTAAACGTGTTTTTTACAAGATGTATAATATAAAATATTACTAATTATGTTTTTATTTGTTAATTTTTAATACTTCTATGTTAAATTGTTATAAACTAACTTATATTTTTTAACGTTATAATTTGATTTGTCGTACTTTAATTTAATAGAATTTTTAAATAAGTTTGCTTAACTTTGTTTCTTAGCTCTTAAATTGATTGGAACAATTAATGCTCATTGTCAAGTTTATACTCAAGATTGGTTCAAAAATATACTCAAAAAAATAAACTCTTGTGATTCCAGTGTTATATTTAGTTAAGACAATGCTAAGATAAAATAATTGTTTAAATAATGACATATGTTATGCAAGTCTATTTTTTTTAATGAAGCAAAAAGGATATAATCTATAGAGGCTCCTTTTGTGATTTTTTAAATCTTCATGTATTAAAATTGTCGCCAAACAAAGAGGCCTAGATTAAATCTTCTTTACTTTATGACTTTCAATATAATACACATAATTCAAATTATTTAATATAAACAAAATCAGTAGTATTTAATATAATCTACAAAAAGTGCCTTCAAATCGTATTTGTTCCAGCAATGTACATACATAAATATCCAGTGTTAATAAAAAATATAGTCATCTGAAACTATTTTAATCTTAAATCGTTTAATATAGAGTTTAATTTCGTATAACATTATATACCGTGACAAAATGCAACGGTGTGGCCAATTCTTTTTTTTAATTTTAATAATCTTGTTAATTTTGACGTAAGTTGTATTTGTAAATTGATTTATTTTATTTTCTATTTTGTTTTTTTTTTTATTGAAATCCGGCTACAAACTTGTTACTTTTAAAATTTGTTATTATAATGTTGCAATGAATTGTTTAGATTTTATATTTGCATTCAGTTGCTTAGTTTCCAACCGTGTTTGAAATAAGGCCTATATTTTCGTGATCTTTCTAAATGCCTACCTTAAAACTACATGAAGAAGTGACTGAATTCGATTATAAGACTATTATTATATTTTCCAGAAATGTTCATCGTAATAAATTAATGAATGATTATATATAAAATTCATGCCAGATTAGACAATAAGTGGAGTATTTTAATATTTATCATATTATTTTAAGTGAATTTTATACAATCTTGTGTTAATTGCAATAAAGCTATTTTATGAATGAAGTTTTGTTTTTTTGAGTAGTATGATATCCTAGTGTTTTGTGATTATTAAATGGTACTGCTTGTGCAAACCTGTAGGAGCTGACTCAAGAGGAATGTCAATAGAATGTCACGGGAAGATTAGTAAGAGTGAGTTTGTCAAATAAAGTATACATTAATGC